GGTAGTGCTGCTTGTCTTCTCTGCTGGTGAGCTCTGGGGAGGAAAAACATGCGTGCTCCCTTGGTGGCTGTTGAGAACCAAACTCTACTGAAATGTGCCAGTGAATGACATTGGTGAAATGCATTGCCGCTCGCTCTGCTCGGTCTTGATTAGCAAAGGCAGGTTTTAAATGAAGTGCGATTTGGGGCGGTGCCTTTGGAGCCTCGTGGTTTTCTAACAGTTATTGCACATTTATTATGCCAAAGGCATCAGGCCGTTGTCTGCATTAACTTGAGTGAGAATCTGTTGAGACAATACGTCTATTGCAAACATTTAGCTGAAGCAATGTTTCGGCAAAGTTGAGGAGTGTAGCTTCGTCCTTTCCTGAAATCTGGCCCAGTGTTGCGGTTCCACTGTCAATATCATCGGCCATGATCGATCCACTGCTCGATGTATGCCTCCTTCAAGTTGCTCTGATCTCTCCTGATTTCAGCACCTGCAACACCAGCTGACCTCATCGCTCCTTCTCCGTGGTGGACACCTCACAGTTGGTTGTCCTTCCCACGCACGTCCGATTAGCACGGTTGGCTACGTATGGTGCGAAACAAGTTCAACATACACCCATATGGACTGTGTTGGCTGCGACTTCATCGTTGGGCTTGTTCACTGGCCATTGTCCCTTACTCACGACGCTTGCAGCCCAAGGCCACTTTCTATTATTAGCAGTCAATATGATGTTTCTAACTTGCATATGTTTTCCAATCCTGTGTGTTCTATGTTGTCTCTCAATGGACACACTGTATGTGGGCGAATAGTGGTGGGGTTTTTTTCTTTTTCGGGATGAAGACATGGGCCGAATTGTTTTTCGTGGGCATTCAAATGATGCACTAGGTTCATCAGTTTGAAATCATATTTCAGCTGCTCGCAATGTATGCATCGAATTGTGTGTGTGTGTGTGAGAATTTATTCTTTGTAATTCATGCAAATTAGGACAGTGATATTGTGATGTGATGTGCTTACGCGAGCAGAGCAGTCAAACCTTATATTCTTTGGGTCTTTCGGTAAAGCCACGTAGATAGACAAGTAAACCTTGTCCGAATAAGACTAAACAAATGAGAAATGGGGAAAATAAGCTATAAAAATAAGAACGGAAAGCATCCGTTAAATTTACATGAGGATGCACTTTCTCTTCGATTTATTTTTCTTCTTGTTGCGGAAAGCATCCGTTCTTAATAGGAATTCTGAATTGTGATGAATCATTGGATTTCTGGGGTGCTTTATTGGACGGTTGTTGCAGTCTTTATGAAGCGTGGGTTTTCAAGAATTGCATGCCTCCTGTGGTTATCGATAAGGAATTACAATGCAATTTGGATTCATATAGCATCTACGTGTGACTGCATGGCAAGACGCTGCACAAAAGCAGTGTGCGTATATATATTTATGGGCTAGTCAAAAGTAAGAGGTCTTGAGCTTGTTCTTGAAGAGGACTGGACATCACAGATAGCTGGGAGAAGGGAGCAACGAGCGAATGAGTGACCGCCCCCTGAGCAAAGCTTGACTGGGGCCTTTGACAGAAAGCCTTATGTGCATTAGCAGAGCAGAGCGCGATAATACGGGAGTGCGGTAGGAGAGTGTGGAGGGAAACGGAGTGAGAAGAGAGGTGAAGAGCTAGGCCGAAGTAACCCCTTAGAGCATCTTAAAGATGGTGAGGGCGATCCTGAAAGTGATGGTATGGATCGGTAGCCATTGGGAGCGCTCGTAGTATTGTGGCCATGTCGTCTCGTTTACGGGGGTAAGCTAGTTGTGTGCGCGCTGTCATTACATCGTTTACGTTGTCGTGGCTTAGTGTCGACTCGTGTCAACACGGTGTAGTGGCAGCACGTCATCGTGTGCTCAGGGGGGGTGCAAAAAAACTGCATCGAGTCGCACCCTGCATTATGTTTGTTCGGCAGGGGGGTGGCCAGGGTTTGGTGTGGCCGTCGTGTCCTTGAAAGGAACCGGTAATACGCTCGGATCGGGCAAACGCTGACGGCGCGTTTGCAGGCCCTGTAGAACGAAGAGCGGGCTCATCTTAATGGTCACGGGGAAACTAATCTGTGTAACAGTAATTGGGTATGTTCCTGCTTTGCCAATCTGTTTGATTGTGATTAAAACTTGAACTGGGATCGATATATCGATTCCATTACTTTTCTAGTCGGTATTCGATTAATCGTACGATGGACTCATTGGGCATGCCCGCGATATTGTTACATCTTGAAAGCGAAGCAGACTTGAAACTGTTTCGTGCTTGAATGGAAGGCTGTATGGGTGTTGTAGGTTTGAGCTGCAAGGTGGCCAGGTTATGACAGACGACAATGAATTGAATCTCAAATTGTGAGGAGTGTTATTCCGTCATGCATGGGTTTTCTCTGGACGCTCTGGTTTCCTCCCACACACCAGACACCCATTGAGACTTTCCTCGTGGTATGTAAAGGGCGTTATTATCTTGTTTACGAAACGTTTAACCTTTAGGCTCTGACTGGCACTCTGATCATGATTAGATTCATGTCCTGTTGAAACAGCCGAGCGACGACGAGTAGGTTGAGGGCCTTGTTAATTATTGGCTTGAAGACGTCGAGGATTTGCTACTGTACATAAGGGCAATCTTAATTTCAAATGAGAAGAGGCGTTGAGATGAGCTGACATGTTATATCGAACAGGAATCCCATGATAATGCGTATAAAGAGATGTTTCATTTGGCAAGGACGCAACAGGAGGTCTCAGCATGGTCTACATTGCATGATGACGGCACCATGAGTGCTTATGCACGCGTGTCGTCGACAGCCACCACCTCAAGAGAGCCGAAAGTACATCCTTGCTGATTGCAACATACTTGTGCTTACATCACGATCATACTGTGTTCAGCCTGCACATATTTCCCAGGCAGACGGGTTTCCTTCCGCGCCAGCCACAACAGCGAGTGCTTGATTCAGCTCTCCAACAGACCTATTTTTGTCAGAGATGACGAGGTGCGTTGACATCAGGCGGGGGATGTCACATTAAGCGGCAATGAGGGAACAATGCGTGGAGCCTCTGTCTCAACTGAAATGCACTCAGGTAAATTACCGCTGCCGGAGAGCCCCCCCCCCTCCACGCGCGTTGCCGTCACCGGTGTGCACTTGTTGGCGAGACAGCTTGTATACGCCATACGGAGGCTTGATGAAATTACAGAGAGATGGCCAGACAATGCACTTCCGCGTAATGTCTGCGCGATTGCGGGCTGTTGTGCTGGATGCTGCTTGCAAAGGTGCAGCACAGGCAATGGAAGAAAATGGAGGATGGTGCTTTTTGTATTGCTCCAGACGGATACTGCATTTAAGCTGGACCCAAAGAGTGACCAACGTAAAAGTAAGAAAAAGATTGCACATAGAAGAAGACCCTTATGATGCAGGCCGTGATGAGAAGATGGCTGGCACTATTTGGACGCATGTATGATGGATCACAACAGGAATATTAAAAGTGTGTTGTTGGGAAAAATGGAAGGAACCACCAGAAACAGAGGAGGAAGATCCAACAGAGAATAGCTTGATGACATAAGAGATTGGTGCCAAAAAGATGTGACACTACTTGAACATATTGGTAGAAGACAATGGAAGTGTAAAACATGACGATATGTGCAGTGGACATCTACGGGCTGTCTGCCCATGGATCGTGATGACGATGAATGCTTTCTGTATATTTTTCTTCCCGTTTACAGCTTTGCAATGTCCCGCACAAGAGCTGAACCACAACAGTTGTTTTCTTTTCTTATTAATCGTTTTTTTTTAATCCGCCGGCAGATGTCTCTTTACAAATCGCCGTGCAGTGGCATGGCGTGTGCGCCTATAATTGATTGTAGTTGTAAGAGTGCAGTGGGGTATTTTTTTTTAAATCCATTTTTCTCGTAATAAAGTATGATTTTTTTTTGTTTACGGAGAGAAAGGGAGAGAGGAGATCGATGGAAACAAACGGAAATCCTGCCTTGGATTTCCCAATGGGGGGGGCCCAGGCTGCCGCAACTTGCTCCGGCCAGATTGAACGCAATTGTTCCGCAAAACTCTCACCCAGAAAAGTTGCATGAAAGCGTAATAAACCAATCGATTAAAATCTGGACAAAATGTTTTTTAATGCCATACCTGCAACCGCGAAACAATATTGCCGATAAAATGTCTCCTTGAAAAGTTTAATCGCTTTAAGTTCTGTACGATCTTTTTTTTAGGTCATTCTGATTAACTCTGCAGTTGCAGCCATTTGTGTTTCGGTAGGCCCCTGGTTTTTTGTGCATTTGCTCGAGTGGCTGCCAACTGTTCCAGTTTGATGAAGCGTTCTCTAATGTTTCAGTGAAAATCTTTTTTTACCATTCCTTTTCGTCGTCGGAGAAAACATTTAGGCAAACGTGGCAGCGGAGTTAGACGTTCATCCTGCAATAATATTAACGTTCAACTGTAATGTGGAACGCTAATTCAAAGCCTAAGGGGTCACCCTTGGGACTATTGGGGCCTCATTGGCATGGCCTGCTCTTGCATTCCTTTCTCCTTCCCCTCGTTTTGTCTGCATCAAACATTAAGGACAATAAAAGGGCGTGCTTTAGTCTCGCGGTTTGTTGGCTGCTCTGTACGTATGTTGAACTTCTTTTGCACTGTATGTAGCCAACCATGCTAATTGGAGCTGCGGGGGAAGAACAACAAACTATGAACACAAAAATCGGTTCTGAAGGAATGAGTTTTCGGTTGCGATTTAAAAGTGCATAGCTCCAGTAGCTTCCTAATATCGGAAGGAAGAAATATTGGAAGGATATTTCTTCGACATTAGAATGTAACAATGCATAATTGCATCAATTAATATAGAATCTGATGCCTGCAACACATTGAACCATATGTGTGAGAGAGGATCAATTATGTACGATTTTTGTGGACAAAATGCCAATGTTATATTTAGGCTAATGGAGCGAACAAAACTGGACAAATGACACAGAACAGTGAAAGACCAGCTACATGTCTTTATCCAAACAATCATGTGATTTATTTACCAGCAAAGCTTCACCGGGTCTGAATACTGTATTATGAGGGTCTAGTGTTGAAATGGTTGGCCGTGTTGCCTCTTTTTACGTGCGATGGAACGGGAAGTACGCGGAGAAAGGTCACAACATCCAAAAGATCCGTACTGCTGTGTCTGTGGATCCACTTGATGCACTGCCATCTCCTGGCCGCCGCTCGCCCCAAGCGGCAGGCATCCGCCACCACACCCGGTGTGCTGGCTGCTCCGCAGCGTGCACATGAAGACTCGGTGAGGTATTGGCCCCTCGTTGTCAGATCCACACGGCCAAGGTGGAGATTTTGCTGGAGGCTCAAGTCATAGGTTATTTGCTCCTCAAAAGTAAAGCATACAATATGGTGATGTTACTGTGCATACTGTGCCCCACCCGCTCAGTTAAAATCACAGACCTTCGTTGCCTTTGGCAGCATACCATGTACACACAACACATGTACACTCAACACACGCATAAATTGTTCTAAATCCCCAGTTAATTTGAAAAATCAATTGGCCAAAAGTGATCAAAGTCGAATCCGCTCGTCGTAAATTAGACCGTGCCCGTGGAATTACACGCAACCCTTAGCCGCTGGCCTTCGTCAGTGGTGCCCACGAGCGTTTGCAAAAAAAAACTAATGCAACAGTTAATTGGTTGCGCGCCACTTATTTATTTCCTGTTTTGTTGTTTTCGGTAATTGGTCTGGGCTCTACGTGGCGGTGGTTGGCAGACGCCGTCAAACATTACTTGTTTTTTAAATACGATGGAACCCCCTCTAATCCTGCATGATTTGTGGCCTGCTAGCAGCCAATCCTGTTATATGCGTTTGTTCAAGTTCCTTAATGCAGTTATCTGGACGGACGTATGCGGATAACAGGATAAACTTGCCTTCACTTTCAGGTCACGTATCCGTGGAGAGCTACGTGTAATAGGATGCAATTGAGACTTTAGGGAGACCACTTGGCTTCTCCACAGATGAGCGTGGATCCTCTTCTTTTGTAAACCAGAAGTCTCATTCGTGCATGGAGTCGGCCGCTCGGATTTTCTTTACTCCGTGTGCTTCTACTCTGTGCCTCGCCTCTTGTCATGTCCACAGGCCTTGTATCTTGTTCCACTGTATCCTCCCACCTCACCCTGGGTGTCCCTCCACTCCTGCTGTGCACCAACGGCATCTCTAGATTTTTGGTCTCTGTGGTTCTGTGTGAGACTGTAGGTGTCTGTAGGAGTCTATTGGTCTCTTTGTGAGTTGATGGGTCTCTAATCGCCATTGCCTTCTCATTGCGTCTTCTTTTGTCTTTTCTGAACACATGCCCTAAGCATGGGTGTGGATAACAGCTATAATTTACCTTCATGTCCGCGCAATACAACTTAACTGTGGATATGCGTGGATAATTCGAAGCACTGTTCAAAGGGGCATGGAAAAAAAGTCGTATCGCTGTAATTAGAAGTTTCTTATGAGTAATGACAATAAACAATCAAACATGCAAGCAACCAAGGGGATTGTTTACTCCGCACAAATGAGATGATATTGAATCCATTGGTAATTGGGCCTTTTTGATGAATCTGGCCCAGTGATATTTGTTTAAGTGGAGCAAACATTGAACCGGATTTGACTTGATTTATCTCCCTGGCTTTCTTTCATCTCTGTATTGAGGCTGTGGCTCTCCACTGACTACAGAATGCACGTAAGTATCACTTTGTGCGAAGTCAAGTGGTCAACCTATGGACAGACTGGTTCCACTATTGTAATGTGGAATTTCCACCGCTGGATTAAGGGTCAGCAGTGGAAATTAGCACTGCCTTATTGCTCGTTACAGCAAAGTGACAATTACCTTTTTTATGCATCAATTATGGCCGTACACTCCTGTCCGCCAGGTGAAACAGGGCGATTTTATTAAATTCCCTCCCCGCCTCTGTCCACCCAACGGCATAAACAGGAACACCACATAAACAGGAACACCACATAAACAGGAACACCACATAAACAGGTACGCCACGTAACAGGTATGCCGCATAACAGGCACACTTCAGTTAGTCATTTGGCAGGCTGCGTGTGGTGAGATATAGTGTGGGTACTCCCACTTCTAAGATTTCTGCTTGGCATTGATGAGTGGCCTAAAAAAAAAATATCGTCTAGATGGGCTGTCTCGAGCAAGCAGTTGCATAAGTGGATACACCCTTCACCATTCTTTACACTGTGCTAGACGTGTAACGATTCGCACCGCTCGCGATTTGGTTTCACGGTTTGATTCAACAATCTTATTTTTTTTATTTTCTGCCGTTGCGGGGAATTTGGCGGCGAGTAGTTGCAGGTAATCAGTTAAACCGATTACGTTATACAGCTACGAATGTGAAAATAATCGTTTGCTATGCGCACTGTACGTAGCGTAAGCGTACAAATTCACGTTAATTGACTTCTTCAAAGCACTGTTACGCGCTTACAAGCGTACATGCTGTTTTTACTTTGTCATAAACCTCCATGTCACTTCAATGAAGAGCGTTTCTCCCTCCGGGCTGCGATAACGACACGTGCGCCTTGGCTTGTCCCACCTACACACGGGTGGACCACGTACTCGCCCGCTGGTCCGCCCACCAGCCAGTCAGTCCGCGCCCAGCACCTGGGGAGCCACGAGCGTTGACCTGGAGCCTGCAGCCCAGACAGCTTCCTTCCTCCTGAGCTCCCCCCAGACCTCCGTCCGTGACCGCCCGAATCCGAGATTTCTCCTGTGCGCACGGACCCACGCGCACACCCCCATCCTTGCCGCCGCTTCTCCTCCCCTTCCCGCACGCCCCACGCCGATGCCACGGAGGTCGCTCGTGCCCGCCGGCCTCGCTCTGCCGACCAACACGGGGAGAATCGTCGTTCACGGTGGTCGCCCGCCTGTGGGCGACGTGGGTGGTGACCACTCGCCCGTGCTCGCCCGTGCTCGCCCGTGCTCGCTCGCTCTTGTGATGACAGGTGGGAGGCTTGTGGGGGGCAGGTGGCCGACAGGTCGGGGGGGGGGGGCACAGGGCCCTGCGAGGGCATGGCGGCACGCGAGCCGCTTTCGGAAGGCCTCGCGGTACAGTGCAATGTAATTGCTTTAAGTTGTTTTTCCCAGTTGCCGCGTGCGGTTGAGGAAATTGGAGTTCAGGGAAATAAGATGAAAAGAAAATAGATTTTTAAAATTATATTTTCCGTGGTATTCTGAATGTGTGCTGAGAAAATACCATGGGCTGAGAGAAGAAAAAGGTGAATGGGTGCTTGACAAAATAGGTAGCGGAAGACGACTGCTCGAAAATATCGTTTAGAAGAAGCTGTCATTTTTTGTGCACATTGCGAGAAGAGATGGAACCTGCCTGGAGAAAATTATCTTTTGAAGGAAGAGGTGAGATAGAGCAGCCATTAGATGCAGAAATAGAATTATGGAACAACTTGTATGTTATATTCTTAGTTCTTTCGGTAAAGTCACGTTGAAAGGAAACAATAAAATAATAATAATATATATAAAACAATAAAAATTCTCACAACGTTTCGACCTTAACACAAACGGTCGTCTTCAGGTGTAGACGACCGTTTGTGTTATGGTCGAAACGTCGTGAGAATTTTTATTGTTTTATATATATTTTATTATTTTATTGTTTCCCTTCAACGTGACTTTACCGAAAGAACTAAAAATATGAATTACTGCAGGCACGAAAGCTTTAAATCAAAACTTATATGTTGTTATGTTGTTCCATAAAACTTGCATGTTGAACTTCTTTCGCGCCACACGTAGCCAACCGTGCTCACCGGAGGTGCGAAACTTGGGCTTTTGATGGTGGAAGCTCCAAGGAGAGCAGGAGTACGTGACGGTTGGAGGCGACCCAGGGCGGCCATGACGTTTACGGCAAGGATCACGTGATCGAAGGAGGGGAGGCGCCCTTCGAGAACGGCAGTGTGTCCGCCTGTCGAGGGAAACCTGGGTCAAACGAACGACGACGGCACGCGGTTTCTCGCGCGACAAGCAAAAAAATGCAGGATGTACTGTCGTCACAGCAAACGTAGCGACAGAACCACGCAAGGTTTGGTTATGTACGGTGCGAACAAGTTCTATACGAAGCACATCGAAATGACCGAACCCCAAGATGTTGTACGTGCAGAGGGATGTGTGTGCGCCAAGGGCACTTGGAAGAGAGGAGGAGGTTTTTTTATTTTTGAGTTTTTCGTTTGGAGGAAGCCAAGTGAGCTGTCGTGGGGGCCCGCAGGATAAAGAGCTCAAGAAGATGAAAGCATGGTTGAGTGCAAGCAAGTACAGAAGACGCTTACTTCACAGGGAAACGGTCCGTCGTGAAACGCGGAGGTGAAGTGGCAGCGTGGTGAAAAATACCGCGGTGCTCAGAAACGCTGAAGCCTCCCAATCAGAATTGGCTCGGGGGGGGGGGGGGGGAGGCTCGAGGAGTGTGGTTATGAGGAGTGTGGTTATGAGGAGTGTGGTTATGAGGAGTGTGTTGATGGGTGGCATTCCACAGCCATGCATTGGGGGAAAAGTGAACAGAGAACACAGAAGTGCTAAGGGATAGGAGGACTACCTCCTGAATGGCCGCAGCATTATTTTTCGTCCCGGTTATACTTCCCAGGCCTCTGATCAAATCGCCCTAAATGCGTGCGATCTCCTCGGATCTCTGAAGCCAAAGGTGGTTTTCGGCCTGGATAGTGCTTGGATTGGGTGACCGCCATGCAAAGCAGGTTCCCACGATGCTTCCACACCTATGCAGCCCACGCTGAGGCATGTGGAGGCCCCTCGTGTATTCGTGGATTAACAGAAGGGCTGTATATGTATTTTGCACTACAATGCAGCTTGGGCGGTCATCCATCGGGAAGTGGGAATTGTGGTGGCATTGCTGCTGTGGTAGGGCTTGTGCTTTATGCCTTGGCGCGTGTGCGGTAACTTGAGATATGCTGTGGAACTATTGAAGTCATTGAAGCCACGGTCGTGGCTTGGGTTGCGACTGCTTCGCTGGCTCCAGGTTTGCTTTCAGATATGTTTAAAAGTTGTACATTTAGTTTATAAGATTCTCAATGTGCCTTGCTTCCCTCCTCACCTGACTGAAATCTTATCTCCTTATGTCCTACGCCATTCACTTCATCAACAAGACTCCCTTTTTCAGTTTAAAATGGACCCCTGTGGCTGTTTAATAACCTTTTGCTATTATGTTGCAGGCATGAGGAACTCCTTACTGCCTTCCGTAAGATTTATTAATTCAATGTCCATGTTTACATCACCCATGAAAATGCCTACATTTATTTTATTTTAATACGAGCTGCGTTTGAGTGAATTTGCTCGTGGTAACTGGGGATTATGGTTGGCTCGTTAAACATTTGGCGAGGTCCTGTAAGGTGCCATAGCAACTTCGTGTTTTTTGCCAAAGAAAGCCTCTGGTGTAAGTGAGACCAAGGCTGGCGATGGTTCCTTTCCAGCAGTCTTCAGCGGTGCATGTGCCGCCATTGCGCGGTTCTCTTGACCCTTGGCCAGTGCCGTGGTCAAGTTCCGTTCCGTTTTTGCTCGTGCCAGCGCAAGTTAGCAAGCAGTGCCCTAGTCTCTCAGCTGCCCCCCCCCCCCCCTCATCTCACGCTGCTGGACTTCACAACCTCTCTGATCCGGCAGCCAAGGCCTCCTGCCAAAACCCTCAGTCAACTTCCGCTCGGTGGGGAGTTGCCGCTTCTCTTCTGCTGCTGCCGTAAGATGAAACTCCCTACCTCCAGCCGTTCGTGCTGTTGGCTCCCTTGCCCCTGTTTTAACCCAGGCCCCAAAACCTTTAGTTGCCTATGGTTATCGTCTTCGTAACATTTACGGTAAGTTCTTGCTTAAGGCGTGATCACAAAACGGGTTTGCAAAACAACGCGGTTCACCTATTGGGGAACACTTTTCGCACAACGCGAAATGCGCACCCCGTTCATCACGCGGAACGTGAGCCGTGTTCACGTGGTTTCTGAGCGGTCGACGACAAACTACTTTCTTGAGCTGCGCGGCTGATACAGTACGCGGTATGACCTGAACACATCATTGCGCACCCGGCACACCGTATCCATTGTGGCTGTCGTAATGTCTGTTGCTATTAGTTGCGTGCCTGCTCCAGTCTATTTAACACATAGTAGGCTTTCACGACCAATATCCATAATGGAGGTGTTTTGGGTTTGATCGCCTAAATATAAATGTGTTGCTTAAACCCGCTACCGCCTGACGCAGCCATTTAGTAACGTTTTGTCACGTGAACAGAACGTGCCAATTAGTTACTAGTTCTGCACACCGATGTGTTGGAGAGTAAACCAGCAACATTTACAATCTGAGTACGACGTTTCGTTGGTAATTACAATCAGCCTCAGCAGTCTTTATCGATGACCTTGGACATGTTGAGTGACAAATTGAGCGTCGATTGTAAAGTGTCGCTTCTGCATCTTGTCTCCCTCTGGCCCCCCCCCACCCCCTTTGTTCTTGCAGCGTCGTGAAGGAGGAGATCTCGGACGACAATGCCAAGCTGCCCTGTTTCAACGGACGCGTCGTGGCGTGGGTGAGTTCCCACGAAACCGCAATGTTTAAAGTGCACGCCGCGTGCGTATATATATAAAACAGAATAGGTAGTTTGTTGTCCTTCCCCCGCACCTCCGATTAGCATGGTTGGCTCTGTATGGTGGGAAAGACGTTCAGCGTACATACACGCATACAAACGCAGCTTCAGAGAAATGCGTAAATGTTTCTGGGCCTTCTGATAGCCAAAGTGATGGCTTCAGATGGGTTATGAGACCGTTAACAACCCGGATCAGTTGGACCCAGTCTTGCCTGCGTCAGCCCTTCGCACAATGATCCTGGGTCGTGTCTGATATCACTGATAAAGGTTGGATTTAAAGCCGGGTTATCTGATCATTGAAGCAATCAAAACCAATGAATTAAATTTACCCTACCGATTATTGGTGCAATTACTCGACTAATCGGAAAAAAACCCGCCACTTTTTTCAAATTTTCTTGCTGTGGTTGTCACACCTGATGATAATTGCTTGTGTTGTAATCAGAAAATAGTTATGTGGGGTGGGGGGAATTCTCACCTCTGTTCCCATGTGTCCCGCTGGACGAGAGGTGATGGGTGGTGTGCGAAGATATTCTTGGTATCGGATGCATCACGTTGGATGTGGCTTATGGGGGGGGGGGGGGGGGCGGGGGGAGTTCCCACCTTGGGGAGGAAGGATGTGGGGGGCGGCGGCCACCCTTAAAGGGGCAGGAGTAATCGACCACCTGGGTTTGTGATTAAAAATTAAACAATACATTTTAAAAAACAACCTTCAGCTCGGGTTGTGCAGAGAGCTGTGAGCTCGGCGGAGGGAGCAGCTGCCGTTCAGTTTCCTGGACAGCCACGCCAAGTTGTAAATGGCGAGAGCGGCGATGTGAAGGGCGTTTGTTCCAAGGAGGGTCCTTCATTACTTAGAGCGCTGTGTTCCTTGATCACCGGGTGAGGGAAGCGGGCGGGGGGGGGCTGCGGGGCGGAGGGAAATGCGACGCAAGTGTGGCTAATTGGCGGGATTTACACGGTCCCGTCAGTTGGCACCCATGCCTCCCTGGGTACGCACAGTAGGGATTTATATAGCTCTGGAAGACACGCGTGTCTCAAGACGCGGCGTACGTATGTTCGTTGGCACCGTATGTAACCAACCGGGAACATTTTTTGGTGTGATGTGCGCACCAAAGACCAAAGTGAGCCGCCGTTCTATCGCCGACGTTTCCAGCGAACAGATTGCGTGCTGGCCGGAAACTAATGATGAACCCGGGTGATCCATTTATAAACAGCTCACCTGATTTCTAATTATTCTATGACATTCTTTCCAATGGCCGATTGAATGTTTGGCAAGTGATGGGTTCCATACTTTCCAGCAGTGCGCCAGAAAAGATCAGGGCTTTTTCAGGCTGGATGTATGTTGAACTTCTTTCGCACCTTACGTAGCCAACCGTGCTAATCGGAGGTGCCTCCCCCGCTCCCTGCACTCTGCCTCTCACCATTTAGAACATTCCGCCCCTTAACCCCATCTCACAGTAGTCATCGAAGCGTCGATCGGTAGGGTCATCGATTACTTGAATAGTGGAACCGTCCAGCCGTAGTACGAGTGTTCTCGGGAGGGAGTGTTGGGGGGTGTGAGCCCCCCGCCCCCCCCCCCTCCTCCCCCATCCCCCCATGTGTTGGCAAGATTTCCCTTCTGCCCCCCCCCCCACCCTCGAGGGAGCTTCTACCCCATCCTCTTGCCGCCCGTTGTGCTGACCGGGATGTTTAAATTAAGGCGGAGGTTAATTTTGCCGTTTAGGCCCTAAGTGAGTTTAAGAAGGGGGGGGGGGAGGTGGCTTCATGACGCGAGGGGGACAGGTGGATATGGGAGGTAGCTCCTGCCGGGTTTTGTAGTTTTTTATATTTTTTTAATGGACGTTCTCAACGGTCGTTTCAATCTCCCGATCAGGGATTCGACGCTCACGTGTCCTGCAGCGTGTCGTGTACGCGCAGAGCCCCCATTTGTCAATCCACTGCTGGAGCAGGGCTATTTGACCATACTTCACCATGCTAGTCAGTGTGAGTTGGTGAATGCGAGGAGCTGAGTGAGACGTTGGTGCATGATACAGTACTGTAATGGATTGTGCTGTACTGCCCTGTGCGAACAACAAAGCTGCACAGCAGCTCACAACATCTGTTTTTATCCGTGGTAGTCGTTCATCCAAGCACCGTCCAGGATTCTACCCCCTTCTTAGCTTCCGTAATCTGATGCGATAGGGCAGATTACCAGGTAATGTGGTTATAGGCTATATACTTTGTGTCTGGGTGCTAAACTGAACATAATCAATTTTGGATTCTCACTATGACTGTTGACTTGTATTGTCCCATAAGCAGTGCTTTGGGTATTGGTTCATTATGCTTTAGGAGTTTTGCGTAGGCAACCTCATCACTGATCCATCTTCAGTTGTGCCGAATGATGAATGATCAGTCTAGGACAGACCGAGGTCTTTAGACGAGACTGATTGCCTCGTCTCTGCGTGGGTCTGTGGTGGGAAATCCAAAATTAAGGTTTGACTGACACGCAACAAACCCTGTTTGCAAAGCCCTCATAGAAAAGGTGTCCTCCGAATATGGATTAAGAGAGGCCCCCTGAGGGTCTTCAACGATACAAAGTGGTGCACCGCTCGCTGTCAATAGTTCCGAATGCAAATGCATTCGTCTTATGAGTTGACTTGTGATATCTCAGTTTGAATGTGATTGAAAACGACTCCAACATTTACGAATGAAACAGAATAGCAAACCATCCTCTGATGAGGTCTTCAGAGAGTGCATTGGCTGACCCCGCTCAATTTCCTTGTAGCATGTACGTTGATGCTGAATACTTGTTAATCATTGTTATCAGGCATGATCATTCCACTGCTTAATTACGAATCGATCATTTATAATCGATGTTATTTTATAATTGCTTTGTTTTTGTTGTGTGTAAATGTGCCTTTTTCTATTCAAATGTCTTAATACATGAAAGATTTCAAACCTACTTGGCCTCCAGGATGTACTGTACGGTGTGCTGAATGTACTGTACAATTTAAAATACATATACAGTAAATACAAGTGGTCTTTTAGAAGTGTATTTGGTTCTCTGCAAAAATCACAGTCGCAGTGTAAGCAAATGCCTTTTTTTAATGCTTTTCAAATTTACAAACTAAGCAAAATATTTCACATCAGAAAAAAAGAGAATTGAGCCCCATGGGGCTCAGCGGTTCAGCGGGGGCCACATGGCGAGGCAGCACGTGACGCTGATGCCCTGAAATCCTGGAGCCCGGATTACAGACGCGATGGACCGGAGTCTCATTAACGAGGGCCCCTCTCGCCCTCGCACCGCTTGCAGACGCAAAAATGCGCCCGAGTCTGCCAAATTGCTTCACGCCGTCCGACCGTTACAAATATATTTTCCCTTCTCCCGTTTTTTTTTCCTTGCCCTCTGCCGGCTGTAAACGTCCGCACATCGCCACGGCCGGGCTGCGATGGGCAATCCACACAGGCTACTGAGCTGTGCCCTGGAAATTCCAAAGCATCGGCTGAGTTTTTGTTTTTGTGTCCCGGCATTGTTGATTCAGCTGCGCTTTGGGGAGAACAGGCAAAGAGAGAGGTTGGGCTGGGAGAGTACAAGGGGCATTAGAGACGCAGTGCTTGGTTGAGTTAGGGCAGTCTGGGTGGCTTTTGTCGGGCCACAAATGGAGTGTGGCTTAGTCCCGTAATTTCCACCCCACCCCCTCTTATGTATTGTACATATACAACCTTTTTGCCAGTCCGCTGCTGGATGGGAGCGTCCCCATACCTTGCAGGTCATGAGGGTTGTTGTTTGACTATACTGCACCACGCTTGTCACTATGGGTTGGTGAAGGCGGGGAGCATAGACGTTTTAGGCTTAGTAGAGTACAGCAATTTAATTTGCTACACTGAACCTCCACGTATCGTAGGGTGCCACTCAATGTGCATTTTTCTGGGATCACACCCTCTCAATTGAAATTGTCAGCGTAAATCTGTTATTATTTACGTTGCTCATATTCCCCTATTCTTCGATGTAAATGTGCCTTATACCATGCCGATACGTATTGACATGCATTTTCAACTCCGTTCAGCAACCTGTAAATATCGAGGGGATTTTATTTAAGCTCGGCAGTGATTCGGGTTAATGGGCAAATTAATTAAAACCGGGAGGCCGCGACCTTGAAAATAACAAAAGTAGAATTTTTAGTGGCACCCCAATGCACGTAGGTGTTGGATTATAATTCACAGCATGGTAGGTATGTAATGATGCATCGATTCTTCGATTAAAATAACTCTGGCTCTATTGATATGATTTACCCGTGCATCAAATAGTGCGTACAAAAATGTATTTTTGCCATTTATGCAAATTTTACATTGAGGCTAATTGAGAGAACAAACCTGTACGAATGAGATCGAACAAACGGAGGAAAACAATTTTAAAACGATTTACTGTAAAAACAAAACGAAAGATAAATTATCGGCGAGTACAATCGTGGCCATGGATGGCTCCAGGGATCATAAACCTGAGCCAACACTGTTGACACGGTGCATTTGAATATGGGCATTGGCCACCCCCGCGTTGACAGTCAGCCCGGTCACTTAACAACACACAAAATAATCATGTATTTGTTTTGCACTTTAATTGGCTTAATTGTGTTGTTAAAAAACGATCGGTTTTACTGCCGTGCTGTGCAAATTTCTCTGCAGCAAGGCAGATGGAAATGCGTGCGCCTCCTAGTGAGCAAATAGTAACTGGCACTTGACGGCATATCAGAAGTAGCTCTGTGGTACCCACTTCCAGGGGCCGTTCTCAAGCACGGGTGGGGGGAGAGAGTTCCGAACGGACACTTTGTCTGATGGCGTGATGACGGCTGCACAGCTCAAATTAAGTAGGGGGGGGGGGGGAAGGGGCGGGGGAGAAAGATAAAGAGAAAACAATTAGGAAAATTACACTTCCCGATGATTGGGAATCGACATTGCTTCAATTTACCAGCGGTCTATTTGAAGTCAATCTCAATGCAAAGTCAATGAAAATTGATCGTTCTCCACGTTGAGGAACTGAACTGAATGAAAGTGACTGGTGAACGCTTCCCCCTCCAAATAACGCTCGCGCATGTACAGCGTGAGCTGGCAGGTCCGAATGTCGTCATCTGCAGCCGCCATGATGTGTGCACTGGTAGATGAAGGCCTCTCAACCACTGTGCGTGAGACTGGTGCTGTTGGCTGCCGTGTGGCTACGTTGTCAGCAGAAGGCAGTGCAGCATTGTACTGTACCGTGCTCCGATGTGTGTGAGCACCGTCTTCACCAATCCACGTGTGGCCAACTTGGTAAAGTATGAGCACGTAACACGCAACAGCATAGGCAAGGCATCATGCAGCAGTGGATTGACAAAAAGGAGCTATGCGTGCTCACGATGGAAAGTCTGAGTGCATGCACCAACGCGTATATCGTGAGCTTGAGGACCGGCGAATCGTTACACGTGTGTATACGTATGTATGTTGAACTTCTTTTGCAACGTACATAGCCAAATGCGCTAATCGGAGGTGCGGGGGAAGGACAACAAACTAAACACAAAAAGCAGTTCTACACGCCAACACCCGAAACCCTCCCTCTCGCCCACCCGCCTGCCCCCCCCCCCCCCCCCCCTGGTGAACGTGTGTCTTTGATTCTGGAAAAATGAAAAATATCAGATTGGATGGAGCTGTGTGGAGTTGTGTTTGTTGGCTTGCGCTCACAGGGAGACTTTTGGGACACAGTCGTGCGCGATAACTTTCTTGGATCGCGGCGGGAATAAAAAAAAGCCCGTTTAAAGATTGTAAGAGTTAATACTGGTAGGATGCGGTACAACAAGTAGGCCACCGGCTGGCTCTGCTGTATTTTTGTGTGTTCTCCTCTTGTTATGTACGTGTACCTCCGATTATGAATGTTGAACTTTCACACCGTACGTAGCCAACCGCGCTAATCGAGGTGTGGGGGAAAGAAGATTCGCATCGGTTGGCTGCATAATGGTGCGAAAGAAGTTCAATATACATATATACATTTCATCCCAAGTACACAGCTGAGGCGGTTGTCCGTTGGTGAACGATGTGATCAGTGGCTGCCTTGTCCGTTGACAGACCTGCTCGTTGGTTACCGTTATTATTGTTAGGGGGTTAGAGAAATCCGCCCCGTGTGTGCATTGCTTCGTCTTCCTTGTGTTTTTGTAACGCGCCTGTTCCTATCGCCCCCGGTGAGCTGGTGACGGCGGAGGGCTCCCACTCGGACTCGGGCTCGCACTGCGCCGACAGCCAGGGCGAGCTGAGGCCGCGCGCCGGCGAGAGAACGGGCGGCATCGGAGACTCGCGGCCGCCCTCCTTCCAGTGAGCACCGTGACGGCGCGTGACAGACGGCGAAGGGGGGGGGGGGCATAGCGTGAACTGGCATGGCACTACCGTGGATGATCACAGGGCGAGGGATCGTGAGAGAATCGCGATTAAAGGGAGCGTGGGAATGGCGTACACGTGAAACGAGTGCGACGTGGACTCCTCGAAGGCAAGCGTGCCACGTGCTCGCGGGGGACGTGGCATGGATTCGCGGAGGGCGTGACGCGAACTCGTAGAAGGCATGGCTCTAATTCGTGGCCGAAGTCGCACAGGGTGCGACCTGGCAATAGCAGAGGATACATGAGAGCATTGCGTCCGATGCAGGCTCTGTGTAAAGGCCACGATTCACTCCGGCAACTTTTGGGCTAATGTCACTGGCAATTGTTTCCGCATGATTTTCTGTTCTAAAATAAAAAAAAATCATAGGTTGCCTTAATTCAGGCAAAATTGTTTCCTGCTCTACCCAGCAGGGCAACTGGGAATGGCAACTTCCAATCAGACCAGAAGTTGCCCGACCACCCAACGATACGTGATCAGTATGGCAATTATTGTTCTTCAGTTACCTGAAATGTCTTTGCATTGGCTATCCAGAACTCTATAATTAATTGCACATGTACCGATGCAATACTTTGTCACTAGATGTGTAATGATACATTGGTCCGTGAGTTAATATGGGTATCGTTCTTGCCATCGATACATGCGTCAAATCTTTTGTAAAATAATCAACTTTTGATTTGTTGCTTTTTCTCTCTGGTTGCCTGGTCCCTTCTGACCCACCAGAGGTCGCTACATTTACAACACAAATTAGATTCGAAGCTTTCGTGACTGCAGGAATTACTCTTTGGTTCTTTCGGTAAAGTCACGTAGAAAGAAATTAAATAATGATAGAATACGACGTTTCGATTGCAACACAAGCAACCATCATCAGGTACAAATGAATGAGACAACAAACATAGTAAACTTGGAAATACAATGCAATACAACACAGAGAGTCGGCCAACACAACAGCCAACACACCACCTGGTTGATTACGTTCTTCCAAAGATTGCTCAATTTGAGAGAGAGACAAAACATAGACACGGAGACACACAGACAGACACACAAGCAGAGAGAGACTCACACAAATTTAGCAATCTTTGGAAGAACGTAATCAACCAGGTGGGGTGTTGACTGTTGTGTTGGCCGACTCTCTGTGTTCTATTGCATTATATTTCCAAGTTTACTAGGTTTGTTTTCCCATTCATTTGTACCTGACGATGGTTGCTTGTGTTGCAATCGAAACGTCGTATTCTATTATTATTTATTTTAATTTCTTTCTACGTGACTTTACCAAAAAAATCAGAGTAATTTACAACAGTTGAAAAAAAAATGAATTCCCTAACCGAATTTCAAATCTGAATTCGGGCATTTCATTGCTTCGCTAAGGGAGAGGGGCGAGGGAAAGAGTGAATCATTGCGGCCGTAGTCGTCTGCGATGCTTGCCCTGAAACTAAAAACTAAACAAACTTTTTTATTTTAACAGGTAAGGCCCATTGAGCTATATAGCGCTTCAGAAGCTACCTGGCCACAAATGATAGCTCAACGAAGTGACTTATCACGTGGAAATTTCTCCCAGCCAAATACTCTAAATGCATTATTCTAAATGTGGAGGGGAAAACTGGAGGACCCGGAGGGTAACGTATGGGGTCGGATATCCGAAAAGCGGCTGCACTGCGCCTCCCCCTGCTGGCTAATGAAATGGAATGCACCGAGCCACCCACCCCCCCCGGGTATCTGGCCCGTGGCAAGACGCGAGTCCGCGGCGCTGTCCTCTTACACAGCAACAACGGGGGGATGCCGTCTCTGTGGTTGGGAGTTAACGGTCTCTGGCAGCGTTTCTTGCATTTTTTGCGCCGAGAGAAAGGCACGTTGGGTTGGTACGCGGTCGCCCCCCCCGTGAAAGGCCGCTGCCCACTCTATGGTGTTGCCAAATGGTGACATTCGGTTTACATGGGGTGGGGGGGGGAAATAAAGGTGAAAAAAATATATTGAACTCGTCAATAGAGCTCAGGGGCCGTCGGAACATCGGCCCCGATCAATCCACTGCTGGATGATGGCCTCACCCCAAGCTGTCACCTCCTTAAAGTTCTGAAATGCAACAATAACGGCGTTCACAGCAATGCTGACATATTGTCAGCTGTGTCTCCTTGCTGCGGCGAAATGTCACGCGCCACGCAGTCCCAACTACATTGTGTGCTCGTCAGTAACCGTCTTACACCACCTCACCTCCGTACAAACTGAAGTTATCATACTTAACTTTTATAGATATATGTGTATTGTGACAATGTGACTTTCTGAGCACTCGATAACACAATTACAAACTGTAGGTGGGCTAAATAGGTCTTCGTGGAAATGATGTTAAGAACACTGATACGCAGCAGGTTACCCTACCCGTCAACGCTCCCGCTATTTCGAGGACAGTGTAAAAACGCGAGGCACCTTGTGTGAGGCTGTAAAGCGCTACCCGAGGATTTTCACCCATTCCATTCCCTCCCCTCGACCGTTCCTCTTTCCTCCTACCTCCTTCCCCCCTTCGTCCTTCCACCATCATCGCCCCCTCCTCCCGACCCCGTTCAGCGGGAACACGGCTGGGAGCCGGGAAAATCTGGACCGGGACACAACTGAGACGGAGTCTGTGGTATCGGCGAGGAGGGAGAGGGCGCGCAGGAAAGATCGACACGATGGAGGTAACGCGTCGCTGTTTACATTACTGTCATCCACCAGGGTTGTCAATCGATGGGTTAAAAACAAATTCGAGAATAATTTCTTAAATCTATTACAAAAGTCACGGAGTCGATGATCGTATCCACTTCAACTTAATTGAGGCGGGGGGGGGGGGGCGTCCCGACAGTTCTGTACCTTTCACCTGAAGACGGCCGCTTGCGTTGTGGCCGAAACATCGTGAGAATTTTATTGTTTTATTTTATTATTTTATTCTCATTCTACGTGACTTTACCGAAAGAACCAAAGAAGATGAAGCCTTGGCCAATTGAAGCACCTTATATTGGAATCAGTATAATTATTTAGACTGCAGGAACAACAGCAAACAATACGTAAAAAAACACAATAGGAGTGCAAAATCGAGAAAATGGTAGAAGCAAGTCACTAAATATAAGTAATTAATACATTAATGATTGATTTATCAAGATTGGGCAAAGCAGTGATAACAACAACAAAAGAGTGCAAGACCACACCAAGATAACGCCACACAGCAGTAGTCCCTCAATCAAATGGCACATTAACATTGAACTATCGATACTACACACGTAATGATCAAAAACATCACACGTCTCATCCCAGCCAACCCATGGCACATGTGGCAGCCCAGCCCAAAGTCATTCCCCACGAGCAGCCATCCCACTGCGCTGGCTTTGAGATTCTTCCTTTGCATTAACAAAGCTTCAAACGCGCTTGTTAGAGCCGGGGACACACAGTTTTGCTTTGCATCTTCTGCATTTAAAGATGGGTTTGTTCAAATGATGAAAATCGATTCGTTCCGCACACGGTACACGAGTATAATTGTACACGTGTGAGAACTGATCGCGCGTGATCTTTGCAAATCAGATGCAAATACGATAACATGAAAAAGAAATATTTACGCAAATGGACTGATTAAAATTGTTATGCACACGACAGAAAAAATGACAAATTCAAAGGTGACGCTCTGAATGAGGCAAAAACATGGAATTGCTTCACCATTTGAATTGTGACTCTGAATCGTGACATCTTCATCGAACCGCTGAGTCGGTAAGGGAGGTGTAAGCCATTACACGTATCTACACAACAGGAGCATTTTGTCTTATTTTCAGGTTATTTCCTTCTTTGAAAGGCGCAGCCACATCAGGTGTAACAGGAAAAGGGATAAAGTCCTAACCACCAAAGGGAGAGAGAGAGAGAACGAGCGAGCGGTGAAAATGAAAAAACTGTAATGTGCGTTGAACCTGTTGGAAGCTGAAACGCCGGAGTCTTTATGTGAAAAATAATCCGACGCTACTTTGAGGGCCACCGTTGCCCCGGGGAGGGGTGGATGGTGGTGGTGGGGGGGATGCTGGGTTGGTGAGCGTCCCTTAACGGCAGTTTATCATCGTCCAAAAACCTCTCGCCAATTATATACGAGCCTTACCCCCCACAACTCCCCCCCCCGCCTCACTGTTTGTCTTCCTATTATGCAAGCGCTCACCTTAAAATCCATACAGTTGGAGCATCGAACGTTTAAACGGCATAACATCCAAACGGTTAGGCAATCCGCGCTGCCGCTGGTCGTGTGTGCGAGGCGAGGTAAACCCGCCCCCTCGCTTTCTCGGAGTGGACAGAGAGCGAGAGTGTATGGGTCGGCTGCGCAAACTGGGAGATCGATGGTGGGTGGTGTAAGAAGGTAGGGGCGGGGTCCGGGGTTTGGGTTGGCTGGAAGGGTGGGGGACGGTGGAGCGAACATTGCCCAACATGATCGACGCCAAGAAGGCGACATGTTAACTACTTCGCCTGGTATACAGGAGGTCGTGCGGTTCGATCCCGACCCTGATGCCTGTATATTTGGAGTTTGCATGTCTCTCTTCCCGTGGTCACGTGGATTTTTGTCCTGGTCCTCTGGGTTTTCCCTCCATTTGCCCGGTATAAACTTCCACGTGATAAGCCACTTTTTTTTAGTTATCATCTGTGGCCAGCTCGCTTTTGAACAAGAGCTATATAGCTTAGTGATAAAATAAAATAAATAGTTTAATCAGTAGGCGTGTAACGATTCGCGATTTTATGAATTACAGAGTTGTCGAGCCACAGAACCAAAGGTTTCAAAACATTAAAACGTCCAGCAACAAACAGCTCAATGAGAATCAAACCTGTAAACGAATAGACAACTCGTCGTAACAAAATATTATCTTGTGCCGATCAGTCTAAATTAAAATGAAATGGGTCCACAGTTGTCTTCCACTGCTGCAGTCAGTCGGTCACGTTGGCTCAAATTTATATGGACGGTGATCTGAAAAAAGAGAACCATGATGCACCACTTCAGGAAATGCGGTTGGTTGTTGTTTGCGTTGAATCGGCAGCGTGAGGGGAGTGATGTCGTGAGGGCAGTGATGTCGGGCGAGGGTTTGCTTAGCGTGGCGCTAAGTGGCTGAGGTGCGTGTGGGGGGGACGGCACAAGCCTCCTATTGTCGCTTGGAATGTGCCCGTGGCACGAGAGAGAAGGTAGTGGGGGGGGGAGGGGCTGCGGGAGGAGAGGCCACGACGCTGGCTTTCTCTCTCTCCTTCATTCGCTCGCACCGTACTGTGTGCCCCCGAATTGGCCCAGCTAGGGCTTCGCCTTACTCGGGTTACACACTGCTGCTGCTGCGTCGCTTCCATCTCCTCCAGCTCCTCCTCCTCCACCGCTTCACTGTGCTTGAAGAGTATCGTCCCGCAAGCATCTCCAGAGCAACAGCAACGTGCGCACCTGGGATATCGATTGGAAGACGACGACGACGGCACGGCGCATTGTTCCTGACGTCTCTTTCCGTCTTAAAATTCTTCCCGTTAAAGGCATCAAGAGCCCCTTTTTAGACCCGTCGCATTTTGTTATATTTTTTTATCTACCACACCCGGGGGACCCTGTTGCGAGGACATATTTTGTTGCCTTTGCCCTTCTGTCTGAGTGAAAGCCGGAGGAATGTAGAAGAAGAAGAAGACAAGAAAACAAGAAAAGCAATGACAAAAACAGCTCCTGCCCATTTCCTGCGAACGCGGTAGACTCGTCTGTTGACGTGAGTTGAGTGAGCGAGCGAGCGAGCGAGGCTTTTTACGTCTGGGGACAGTCGCAGAGATGGCGTGCTCTGGCTTGACCGCCAACTTGGATTAGCGACGAGCCCCTGGGGGTGGCAGCGCGACCGGCCCGTCACGATAGCGATAAGATACGGGCCTCGCTGCCACAGCGCCCATCGTCATCGCACCTGTGCCGATTGATCACTGCTAATTATCCGTCCCGCCTGCCGGCTCGCGTAAATTTTGCAGCGGAGGAAACCTGTCGGACGCGCGCGGTGGTCGTTGGTCGGGAGGAGGTGAAGGGTGGCTCGCCACATCACAAGGCCAGCTGCCTCTCGCCCCCCTTGGGCCTCTGCAGGGTGCCACCGTGGATCCTCGTATGTTGCCGCGGGTGCCCCTGGCTAGGGGATTGCCACAGCTAAGTCTATAATTATCCGGCTCGCTGGTGAAACTGTAGTCGAGGGGGGCACCCGAGTTTGGGAGCTGGGAAGCTGCGGTGGAAATCATTAACCAGAAAAAGCGTGAAGCCTCGTTGGTTTTTATTTAAACCCATAGCAGGTTCTTATACTGCAGGAAGCTGCTTTAGCCGCCTGCAAAGGAGTGTTCTGTGCTTCTCATGGAGAGTGCTCGACGCTGTTTTAGAGCCCAAGTCCATTGGTGTCCTTTCGCCGGAGCTTTGAATTAAATCCTCGGTAAACAAGAGGGATTTAGCAGACTCCGTGTTGAACTGCTTGAGGCCGTTTGGGTCAGGACGACTTAAGAAGTTGACGTCCAGTTTCCAGGGACCCACCACTTCCAACAGCAACACTTCCTCTAAGAACAACAACTGCAACACTCAACGACAACAACAACAACAACAACATTTCTACCTTTCACAACTTGGTCTGGCGTCACGAGGAAGCGTGCAGTTGCCACCTGGACAGCAAACCGGCGGCATTCGTCCTTGCGTCCTTTCGCCCATTACTTCTCGACGCGCAGCCCACGGATGGGATCATCTTTGAACCGCAGCCGAGCACGATCTCCGGCGGGCACGTGTCGCGCGCCAGAACGCTAGCGCCGGCGAGACGATGGCGTCGCCCAGGTGACTCGCAAGCCGCGGACGCCACGAGCCGCCGTCTGGTGGACCCTCTCAGCGATGACCCTGCTGTGCTTCGGGAGGTTGTGCCACCGGCGCAGGGGCAACCGCTCGTCGACGGGGCGGCGCCCACCCCGAGAGCCGCCGGCGGTGGTGACGGGAGAGGACTCCGTCGCGACCGCCGCCGCCGCCGTCGCCGCCGTCGCCGCCGCCCGATCCCGCAAACGTACGTAGCGCCCCGTTTCGGCGAGTAGGTTTACGCCGGCGCATCGAGCCATTTTTTTTTCTCTCTCCTCCCAAGCCCCCTTCAACCGCTGAAGATGCTCGCAGGAGTGCAGTGGCGATAGCTTGAGGGAAGAGATGCTCAACACGACGGTCTCACCCCCCCTCCCCCCCCCCCGCATGCGTAAGCCCCGGTACGGTTACGGCGGTCAAGGAGTTTCCGTCGCGTCCGGTTATACGCAGAGCCACCGCCACGGCACGATAGTTTCAGCCAAAAGTAAGGATGGGTTACGCCTTTGCTGTTGCGGGTGTGAGAAATAGGTGATGCCGGGGGGGGGGGGGGGGATCGTGCGTTGGACTTGTGCGTTCGTTCTTACGCAGGTAGAATAACTGTTTTATCGGCGAGTAGTGGAGAATCGAGCTGTAGGTTAACATGAACTTTTGTGCTCATGATGCATGCATCGAATCGTTCTTCGGATTGTATGCAATTGTTATCATCATGCTGAATTTGCACTAATGGAACAGACAGAAGTGTACAAATGAGATGTTTTTGTATTATTATAAAGTAACAACGAAATGGCAAAAAAAGAGAAAGGGAATCAGTTGTTGAATAGCCACTGCAGGTCGCCAGAATGAATGAAATCTGTGCGTGGTGGATTATTCCATGCTAATGGCTCACTAGTGAATCCGTCTGACGAGCGAGTGCCTAGAAGTGTCACCGATTATACTTTTCAGGTCACAGTGTTATCAATTAATGTCTTGAGACGTTTGTTGCTTGTGCATCACTGCCAACGCAGTGTCGCCAAATAATTTGTTTAGCATGTGGCAGACTCGTTGGTACACGTACAATCCTGTCTCATTTATCGATATATTCTCTTTATGCGAGTACGGTTTTGTGTAGCTCCATTAGCGTATATATAACAGTGTATCATTGCATACATGATCAATAATCGATTCTCATGCACATGTATAAATTTGTGCTTTGTGAGCGCAAGAATCGAGGTCATACGACCGCCCAAGGGTTTTACGCTCAGTAGCCCAATCATTGTTCATCAAACGCAGACTCCTCAGCGAACTCTATTTTCATTGGCCAGACAGAACTCTGTCCCTCTGCGGCATTGCTGTAGCAAAATGGCAGAGTTGCTCATGGCAAATGCCTTGCAAGTGACAATTGCTGGCGATGTTTGGCCTAAAGTTGCCCGAGTGTGTCGTGGCGTTCTTGGCTGGCGTAAACCCTGACTGCTGTTAAGCGTCCCCCTGGCCTGGAATGAGTCACCACAGCAGTAATCCTGGAAACGGCGAGTGAATGACATTATAATCTTTTGTAATCTTGTTGCCCAGCCCAGTTTTTTTTTTCGGACGCTACAAGCACGCACAATTTAAGCTTCTTCGGATTTTTTTCGTTTTACATAATGAGGCTGTGGCTTACACAACGCTCTGGCGTGCGACCGATTAAAAGTGGCTGAGGCTCTGATTCTAAGAGCCGCTAGTCAAAAGTGCACACGTTTTCCTTCTGCCGTTTAAAGCCAGCCGTAGCGCCGCCTCACGCGAACGCACTCCCGTACGATTACACCAGACATTTAAAATTAAATTCCTACGCTCGCGCTATGCCCGTCGATCCATTCGTCTTGAGAGTCGATCAATAAGTTTGCTTATACGCGTGTTATGTACAAACATTACTTGTAGCCCGATGGGGCGAGCGTGACGGAGCAAGTTTCTAAACTGCACAGATGTGTCGGTAAAAATTTGTAACTGAAAAATAATCGATTCTTGAATGGATTGATGGTCGCCAATTGCGACGCCTCGCTGAGTCACGGGGAGGTTATGAATCGCCACATGCCTGCCACTTACATCAACACCACGGAAGCTGCGTCGAAGTGAGCCCATAATTTTTGTTGTGGGCTTACTTCGGTCGCCATCCGCTCGTTTTCGCCACATGCCCCTCGGGCCTCTTGGCGCGCTGTGAATAATTCACGTGCTCTCACGTGCCCGTGTTTTTGGACATGTGAGCGAGCGGGTGTGCGTGCTTGTGTACATGTCTCCGCTTGTGGGTTAATATTTAATGCTCGGGCTTCCATCTGCCTTGGCTGTAACACCCCGAAAGTGAGGGGACACCAAAGGCCTTAAGTCGTCGTCGTCATAGGTTTGGTTCACACCTCCCAGCTTGGCGCGACCCCTTATTGGAAGTCAAAGTTTTTACACGACCCGCCAAATAAATTGGCGAGTGATGCCTGAACTGGTCCTTGGCTCCACTTTCACCAAACCATGCTGACCGGCGTGGTGAAGGATGGTAAAACCTCACCCCTATGGGGACGCCTTTATCCAGTATTGGTCTGTCAAAGGGCAGTAATTGTAATCTTCAAATACCGGGTTGGTTCGTGTGTGCGTGTGTATTAAAGCAGTGGTTCGCTCATTGCACTATAATCTCGTTGACCAGGGTTTAATGTCTGCCAATAAATAGCATGACAAGTGGGTTTGTGTGGCTGTCCCGAGACGTCTCCTAGGCTGACTCAGCATCTGAGTGCCTGCTGTGGTGTGTAAACACGATCGCTGGGAAGACAAAGCCCACCCGGGCCTGGTGCTGGATGTGCCAGGAGGCGTGCGTCCATGAGTGTTTTTTGTTTTCCAAAGTCGCAAAGAGAGTGAGTCTCTCTGCAAAGTCGCACATTCTTTGGCACGCCAAAGTCAATCGAAAAGTGCGCTTTCGGACGGACGGCAAGAAAAAACAATTCTCACGTTGTTTAAAAATAAAAACCCAAACCGAGAGACGTGCTCTGTCACCCGTGAAGAGAGCACCTGCCAAGCCCAGCGGGCCCCGAGCCTCTGACCTCCGATAGAGACATTCACCCCCTTAAGGGTCGCGGGGTCACAGGGTCATGGCGTGGGTTGGCGACCCGTCTGCAATTTATGGCCTCTCCTGTGAAATGGAAACCCCCCCCCCGCCCCTCTGTGCAAGTTGACAAAAAAAGGCAAATTAATTAAGATTAAAATGCTACCGAGGCTGCGAGTGAAATTGGACCTGGATGTGACGGCACCAGGTCGGTTAATGTGTTCACCGGAATGCTTTGGCTTCCGAGGATTAACGTCGATGAAAATTGCAACGTCTTGTTAACGTTACATTTAGCATCTGTTGATGTCCATTGTTTGTTATTATTGTCATAATTACGCTTGTTTACCCAGGAAAGCATCACTGGGTCTCGAGACTATTTCAGGAGCGTTCCTGCCAAGCTTTCGCGGTAGTGAGCGATGTTGCTCGGTGCAATCATACTGAGCAATTTGCAGATACGCTTCCAACATTTGGATTGTTTGGCCAATACCAGTTACATTGTGTGGTTTATTTTAACTATTCAAGGAAATTGGAGAACCTTGAGGAAACCCATGCAGAACGGGGGGAGAGCGTACAAACCTCGTACAGAAAGGCGCCTGTGTCAGGAGTCGAACCCAGGCTTTCTTGCTACAGGTAACAAGTGTTACCACCGTGCCACCCTGACACCTTTGTTGTTGTTGTTTAAGCAGTACAGGCTGGGTTGGTGCAGTGGTAAGAGCGCCTCGCTTCCAAACGAAAGGTTACAGGTTCCATTCAATGTTGCGTTTTGCAGTTGCGTATCGTAAGGATGAAGTCGAGCGTGAATAATTAGCTCGGTGACTTCACTCAAATAGAGTGCATTCATTTGGAAAAATGACATCCAGGGGCAAACGATTGTTGCAAAGCATTACAGAATCCATGCGTGTGTGTGGTTTTGCTCCCCTTGTTTGCTTTGGTTTTGCATTTGTTCTTGCGGTGTATATGTAGGCATTACTGAAGAGGCATAAGAACCTGCGGAATTTGCGGCGATGTGAAAAGCATTTAGTTGAAAAAGAGACTTGGGTGTCAGTGGTCTCTCACCTTGGTTTTTAATCAAGACAGTGGCGACATTCGATACGCGTGAAGCAGAAGTGTTTGACTTTTTACGCACGCCGATGTAAGCGCGCGCACTGTGAGCGCAAGCCTCTTCCTGAACCCGCGGATGGTTCTGCACGCCAGCCGTCGGGCCGCCCACGGTCTCTGCATTTACTCAGAAATCGGCCGCTCGTCTCGCTTTCGCCATTGTCTCTGGGCTGTTTACGCTGTCGGTGGAAAGAGGGATAGCCACTTGAGGTGTGGAGCGCCGCCCGGTCGGAGTGTGGCCACGGGCAGGAGCGGGTTGAGACCGTTGCGTGACTTATGGGGCGACTTTGAGTGGCTTAGACGCCCCCCGGGCTTTGGGGCGATTTGTCTGGCGGGTGAAGAGCTTTGCTCCGTCTTGTGACCCACGCTCGGACACTGAAGGATTAATTGCACTTTAGCCTATTTGGTCTTGTTGTGTTTTTTTTCTTCTTTTGTCTCGACCATTATGGGCACGGCTAAGTTTGTATGTGTAGTGGAGTGGTGGTGTAGCGGTTAGCGCGCTGCGCTACAAAAACCCGGCGACCCGAGTTCGAATCCTGCTCGCAGTCAACACCAGTGACGATTATCTGAACTGGTCCTTTGGTCTCGCTGAAGTTGACGTACCCTGTGTGGTGTGTAAACATTTCCACTGGGGAGACAAAGGCAGCCGGTTGTGATGCTGGCCACCCACCCCCTCGTGTGTCCGTTCCGGCCTTCATAGGAGCTCGCTAACAGCACTTGCCCCAACAGTCTGTTGAAGCTATAGGGGGGATCTTCGGGGAAGTGCGCTGCACTAAGAACCCTCGCGACTTGAGTTTAATCCCTGGGAATGGCCATAACGTCGGTGGCGAGTGATATCAGAACCAGTCTCGGGGTCTAGAATTAACCTTAAATGATTGCCGTTGTTGTTATGCGTGCTTGTGCGCCACCAAATCCTCGTGGACCATGGTGACATTTCATAGCCTCTCCCACGTGCACTTTCCCGACAGTTCGTTCAAGGGCCATACAGGGATTTGTTTGCCGCCTGTTTATCCGCACTGTTCTTACCATTATGTTTTCCGCCCAAAGTTATCGCACCTCCAGCTGCACTCATTCATCAGGTTTCTGTTGATCAGAAAGGAGGTGTGTCCCCCCCCCCCACCATTTTTAATAGTCACACTAAGCCAGGTCTTGAGGAACCTTTTCCTTCCAGAGGGAGGAACACGGCTTTCAAACACCTTTTGACGGGCAATCACACAAGAACAACACGCAACACTGCAGGAGGTCCCTCGCAGCGACAAAAGCGGCTCGGCCGTGTTGTTGTCAGGACAAAAATTACTTGACTCCATTATCCAATTTATGAGATGCTTGCAGTGACGGATAAACTCAATATCGTTTGCGGCTCTTATCAAAGTTGCGGGCCTCTATGTGACGTGCAGTTGTGTGGGCCCGTCTCCCACCGACGGGGGGTTCGGGGGGGTGGGGGGCTAGGTTTCCCAACCCTGCTGTCAGCGCTCGAAGCCATTCGCCACTGAAGGCGCTACTCGCCACAGAAGGCGCTACTCGCCACAGAAGGCGCTACTCGCAGTGCAGTAAATGTGATGATGTTGCCGCTGCTGTTGTATGTATGTTCTTTTGGGTCTTTCCGCAAGGTCACGTGACTTTACCGAAAGACCCAACGAATATAAATTCCTGCAGTCACGAAAGCTTTAAGTCAAGATTTATGGTTGTACGTTTAACTTCTTTTCCACCGTACGTAGCCAACCTTGCCAATCGGAGGTACGGGGGAAGGAAAACAAACTAAACACAAGAAATGAGTTTGTCAATGTAGATGATTGAAAAGTGCATAGTTCCAGTGGCTCCCTAATATCGGAAGGAAGAGCGTTCCAGACAGCCGCAGAACGGCATCTGAAAGCGCGCGATGCGCTGACCGTCTTTGTTAGAAAAAAGCCGCTGCTGCGAGGATGACCAGAGTTCGCGTGATTGTTTATGCTCCTTGACGAGCTCAAGGTATTGTGGTTCCTTTGTCGAAAGTTCGCAGGTGTCGTTTAGTGACGTCAGTGCGGGCATGCCCTCGCTGTTGTCCCTGTTGACACCCCCCTCCCCCCCCCCCACCAGCGCCCAGAGTTAACGGGCAGCCGAAGGAGCGGAGGGAGAGGGACGCGCTGGGCGGGTACGAGAGCTCGTCCACGCTCATGAGCAGCGAGCTGGACTCCACCAGCTTCTTCGACTCTGACGAAGATGGCTCCACGAGCAGGTCAGGAGGGGCGCTGACGTGCCCGAGCGGTGGCGCATTTCTTTTTCCCGTCTTAGTTGCGGATGTTCGCGGTTGGAGCCCAGCGGCCGCCCTGCTTGATGCTGCGGTTGTAGGAAAACTGGAACAAGTTTACAATTATCAGGCTAATCGCCTGACGCAGCTGGTTGTAATCGCCAGCAAAAGTCATGCTCGAATTGTAAATGTTGTTGCGAGTTTACTCTCCAACACACCGGTGTGCTGAAGTAGTAACTAATTGGCACTTTTTGTTTACGTGACAAACCCTACTTATTGGCTGTGTCGGGTGGTGGCGTGTTTAATAACACATTTATATTTCTGCAATTTAACCCAACCAAAAGCTTTTTTTATAAATTAAAACAGCTTCGTCAAAGTCTGCTCTCTATGTCAGGGCTTGGTTCTTTTAAATGACACGCACAACCCAATCAACGGGCAGCTGTTATCGCGTATATTCCCGCCAAAGGTCTTGGGGTCCTGGGCTCTCGCGCAAATGTGTTTTAAGCTGTGCTTTATTTTCATTATTTTATTATTTCCCTTCTACGTGACTTTATCCGAAAGAACCAAGAATATTAAGCTGTGCTTTTGTGAAAACAGACTGAAACCATGGTCAGGCGCTCCACTGTGTGCCGTCGTGATTTCTGCGCTCCGACGCATTCAAACGTTTTGCACGAGACTTTCGTGGGACCGCGTGGATGCCGTCACGTTCAGCTATATATTTGGGCGCGCCCAACCACGATTGCTTTTCGGAATTTTTTTTTCGTACGAAGGATGCTTTAGCGTCGTGGAGAAGAGCGCGAGAAACGCCACCGTGGTACGTGTGTCCACGCGCTTACGAGTCTCGTGTTCGTCTTGTTGCCATCTTCCTTTGTACGCGCGTTGCCCTTTTGTCAACCCACCGCTGGATGAGGGTCTCCTCGTGCCATGCGGAGTTGTGCAGGTTACTTGACCGTACTTCGTCATGCTGGTCGGTGAATGTTGATGAAGGCGGGGGGGGGTGTACCGCCCTCTGCTGGCCGCTACAGCTCGTAGTATCATTTCTGTTTTAATCCTCCATGCGCTTTTCTTTTATACTCATCGGTATCAATGTGGAGTAGATGTAAAGTATTTTTTGTTTTAGGCCCAACGACCTTCTGGGAGTGCATAATATATAGCAGCATTGATTTCCCACAAGTGAACTCATGTTTCGACATACAGTGTCTCATCAGCCGAGTCGGGGCTCACTTAATGCCAATGCTGTTGCACGGCCAGATGTTGAAGGCAAAGACCCTCTCGTTAAGATACGGGTCTTTTGAAAGATAGGGTGATGCATTTCATGGTGATTTTGTCACCGGGAAATGTATTGTAGTCCAACAGCACTATTACAGGCCAGTGGCATTCTGTGGCAGTGGCAGTCAGAAGCAAAGCAGGCAAGAACTTCGGGCCCATAGCAGCTCAACGGGTCCCGGATTCACGACAAATGAGGGGTGCATTCAACATCAGCCCGGATTCAAATCAGAATAAACAAGAAGCCAATTAACGTACAGGCCAAGCGATCTCTCTCATTCTCCATCTCGTCGGCATTTTTCATCTCACTACATCTGCTTCTTTAATCTCACCACATTTCTCTCCTGCGTACAGCTCTCCCGCCTTCGCGCTGGAGAATAATTTCTTTGACGAATTAAAAGGCGGCGGGAGGTAGTGGGGGGGGGGTGCACTGCAAAAATAATCTCTGCACCGCCGCTGACGGCAAGCGTGACGTGGTGATTTTTGGAGGCGAGCGGCGGCGACGGCGGCGGCGGCGGAGGAGCCGCGTGAGGGCGGACGCTAACGGCGCGCGCGTGCGGACGCCGCTCGGCAGGTTCAGCTGCTCGACGGAGCAGAGCAGCGCGTCGCGCCTCATGAAGCGGCACCGGCGGCGGCGACGCAAACCGCAGCCCCAGCAGCTCGACCGGGTACGGCAGTGTGTGTGTGTGGGGGCGGCGGGGGGGGGGGGGAAGGACTTTCCCGTTGCGGTGTTGTGCACCAGGGCTGCAGCCTGCAGTGAGAGGCTGCGTGCTTCCATGTGGCACTGGACATTTGTGAAAAAGAGCTTGATGGCTCATCTTATTTCTCCGGTATGAATAAGTGGGCCGATTCTAAATATTCTGGCAGAGTGTTTGTAAAGCGTTGTGAACGTGTTTGTGGTAAAGCATTATACATGGTTAGCTTTCTGAATATAGAGTAGACCAGCATATCTGTAAAGTCAATTTAACATGCAAGGTTGTTTTCGCAGACAGTATTACGATTCACAATTTATAGAAAACATTTCTTGGGACCTGTCCAATTTGGTGTCGTTACGACCCCTCCACCACACAGCACAGACAACCAAATAAAATAAAATCGTGTACGAGCGCTTAACACGCCGATTGTTATTTTTTAGCTGTGGGTCCAAATTTGCTAACATTTGAAATTTGCTAATACAGTAACTTGGTCTGCGAGTGTTTTGCAAGACGAGCAAAATTTTTAAATAAATATTAATTTGATAAACGAGCGAGGTCTTGCAATACGAGTAGCACGTATACGCTTTGTCTGCCGAGCGTCACGTGATCACAACTGATATACGAGTGCTTTGATATACGAGTGCTTTGGTTTACAAACACGTTTCCGGAACGAATTACGCTCTCAATCCAAATTTGCCTGCCAAATATTCAATTGATATTGTACATAGCAGTCATCGCCCCCTACTGGCAGACTAATGCACCAGGATCGATCATGCAATTGAGACTATCCTGTTATCTGGGGTTCTCATCTGATGAAACAAAACAAACTTTAACTTGATGTTACACCGAGTCAGCCGGGCCCACGTTGCGATGACAGGCAAGGTGACTGTTTTAGTGCGGAAGCCGCCCTCGCTTTGTGGCTGTGACGTGGGCGTTCCATTAGCACGCTTGGCTACGTACGGCACGAAAGAAGTTCAACGTACTTACCGCCGATCCGGCAAAATCGCCCCAAAGGCTGTACCAGTCCGGCGATCGGCACCGTGTGCGGGACAAAAAAAGTAGCTATGCTTGATTCCAGTGGACACTTCTACACCCCCTATCATCACCCCATGCAGAGTCTTCGAGATTGGAATGGGAAGTACAGTCCAGGGAATACAGTATCGTTTTACAGTAGGATATTTATTTTTGTCTATTCGTATGTTCCATGCCAATTTCACATGGTAAACAAATTTCAAACGCGAAAAAAACCTATACACAACACCAAAAAATATGATGTTATGCAAGAATGTGTGTAAAAATAAGCTATTTAAAAAAAATGATTTGGTTTTCCGGCGTTTTAGAAAATCCGGCACCCCCTTCCTCCCCCCCCGAAGCCGCCGGATAATAATTGATGATCTCCCGTACATACTGACGTCCGCGGCTCGGCTCTCGTTTCAGTCGTCCTCCTTCAGCAGCATCACGGACTCGACGATGTCGCTCAACATCATCACGGTCACGCTCAACATGGGTACGCGCTCGTTACTGCGCACCTTCACACGCACTGAAGACAAAGATCGTTCGCCCCTTTAACATTAGCAGACTTTTTTTAGGCAAAGCGCTCTTCGCGAGTAGGCACAGCACACGAGGGGGGGGGGGGTGGATGGCCAACACCACGCCCGGCTGCCTTTAGTCTCCCTAGTGGCAATGTTTACACACCACTTACATACACACACATGCCCCGCAAAGATTATTACGCTCGTGCGATTTGGGTAAAAATTATATGGACAGCCAAATCGATCAGCAAAAATAACTATTTGTGAATATGCAAAGCCACCCTTAAGCTTCCATACTGCCAATTAAATACTTTCGAAGACAATTGCACGTGTAAAATTGTTGTTTAATCCACGATATCTCCTTACTTGTTACATATTATATCACGACAGGGTGGCGCAGCCGTTAACAATTGTGGCTCACAGCACGAAGGGCCTGGGTTCGATTTACAACTCTAGCGCATTTCTACGGATGTTTCCTCCGTGTTCTCCAATTTCCCCCCATAGCCAAAGACTTACATCGTCGTAATTGTTGGCCAGACATCCCAACGTTAGCAGAACCTTTGTGACAAAAAGTCTTCGTACTCGCCGTGGCTTGCTTGCTTTTCTTGGTAAATACTTAATTTATTATTATTATTATTATTATAATTATTATCATGATCATCTCCCCATCTCCTTCAAACAGAGAAGTACAACTTCCTGGGCATCAGCATCGTGGGACAGAGCAACGAGAAGGGAGACGGCGGAATCTACATCGGCTCCATCATGAAGGGAGGCGCTGTTGCCGCCGACGGGCGAATCGAGCCCGGCGACATGCTACTGCAGGTCAGGGGTCGCAGGGGGGTGTGTAGCCTGCCGTCACCCTGGCTTTTGACGAGTTGATAGCCGTGTGCGCCGAGTTCAGGAAACTGCGAGGTTAAGTGTCCGGCCTCTGCTTTGTGCGTGAACCCGAGTGGCGACTGGTGTCTGTCTGTGCCTCTTGCACGTGTACCCCCGCACCTCCGATTTGCACGGTTGGCTACGTACGGCACGAAAGAAGTTCAAGGTACTTGCATACGTGTTCTCTCCCCCCACCTCTCTATCCTCTCAATGCTCCTCCTCCCCTCTCCCTGCTGCGCGGTGGTGCAGGTGAACGACGTGAACTTTGAGAACATGAGCAATGACGACGCGGTGCGGGTGCTGCGGGACATCGTGCACAAGCCGGGGTACGTGACCCTCCCTCCTTCCCTCTTTCCTCCCTCCCTCTTTACTCCCTCCCTCTTCCCTCCTTCCCTCCATCCTTCTTCCCTCCCACCCCTCTCGCTCGTGCCTCACCCCCCCTTCCTCCTTCCCGCACTTAAGACGACAATCGTGTCAATGCTATGTAAGCCGCGTTTGCCCCAGGATGTAAAGTTGGGAGGCAGCTTTCTGGCTGAGCTGCACACGGCGTATGTTTGGTGCCAATCCCCCCTTCCCCAACCTCGCAATTTGATGAATGTCACGATTCAAGATCGCGATTCGATTCAATAATCGTTCCTTATTTTTGGTATTGCGGAGCACGTCGCGTCTGACGCTGCCTGCGGGATTTTGCGTGAAATCGATAACGAATCAAAAATACTCGATTCTCCACCCACACAATCCGGGGCGCGTGCCGTGGGCCTTCGACTCGAATAATCTTTGCTTGCCGAGTGCTCTCCCCTTTGGTTACGGCAGTGACGACATCTGAAATGGGCAGGGATAGCCCCAGAGCGCGAGAAGAGGTCGTTCCCCTTAAAATGCAGTGCGAGTGATAACGAGCGTTTTTTTTGTGTTCGCTTGTGCCAGTACACCTCGACTGGCATATTCACCCAATTTTAAATTATTATTCCTTATTAATGTTATTTATTTTGGTGTTAATTGTGTAGTCGTGAAGCGAAAAAAAAAAAACTCCCCCACCGTACCCTTGTCGGGAGTCAATGAGCGAGCACACTGCTGAGATGGTGGGTAAGAGGCATCCGCGCGTGATGTCCTAAGCTGGGGCTAATCGCTTGCTCGCGTGCATGCGGACACGCACGTCTGGCCTCCTCCCGCCCGAAGTGATTTATTTTTGGTCCGGAAGCCGGCGGAGCATTGCACCCGGTTGGCACGTTGGGGTCAGGCGGGTTCAAGTCCTCGCGGGTGAATCCGGATTTAGACGTTCGCGTGCGTTCGTTCGTTCGTCTTAAGCGCCGAGTGTTAGCGGCACGTGATGCCCATGGGCCTTCTGCGTCACGCATCCTCTGTCGTATTTAAAGTTTTTGGTTCGCTCTGCTAATTTTTTTTTTATTGTTACTGATGAGGCCTGTAATGGCACCAAGCATCCCCCTGCACCCTAGTCATTTGTTGAATTGTCATAATTAAAGTTTACGTTTCAGCCTGATATTACACTTCTGTTGACTACATTGATCTATCCATAATAGAGGTTTTTTGGATTAGATTGCGTAAATATAAATGTGTCATTAAATCCGCCACCACCCAGCACAGCCAATTAGTAAGGTTTGTCACGTAAACAAAACATGCCAATTAATTTCTAGTTCAGCACACCAGTGTGTTGGAGAGTAAACCCACACAATTTACAATACATTGACCTACATGTAACATTCGCATATAATTTGGACGCAATTGCAAATAATTGTCCAGTGGTATTTTTCACTGCAGTCGTGAGCACAGGTAGGGCTAGTGACAGATGGGTCGGCGCATCATTGAGTGCCTGTGCCTGCGATCATCTCACCACCTGAGGAGTCGGCGTGGCACATGTGTGCGGGATTCGGCCAAAATCGGGCCCGTGGATTCCTTCTGCGGTCCCCACGGTGTCTCGTTCACTTTGGATGAACTGCAAAGTTTAGTAATCTGCACCAAAGGCTCGTGTCCTGGTGCATGCATATTAATTTTCGTTTCCTTTCCCCCCTCCTCACCTCCCGAGTAGTCACATTCCATTTGTTATGAGCAGCAGCAGCAGCAGCATCTCGTGAGACAAACCATTTTTCATTTGTAACTCTGCAGCCAGCTGCGCATCGACCTGTGTGAGAAACTGAACCCAGAGAGTGACGCTACAAAACATATTTCTAAACTCGCTTTGGGGGACTGTTTTTTTTATCCACTCAAAGGGCGAAAACATTTTGTATGGTCTGCAGAGTGTTGCTTGTCAATGTTTAAAAAAAAAACAACCAACCTGTATATGCGCTTACGCGAGGTTCAGCTGCCGTTATATGGATTCTGTGAGCGCGCTGCCGTTTGTGTGTGTATGTGCATGCGCACATAGCCTGGCACAAGCGTCGTGGTGACACCACCGCCACTTGGTGGCGAATGGCGGTTGTTGTTGTTGTGCCGCTTCGAGAGCCGTAGTGTCGTGGTTAGTGCACCGCACTACGAACCCGGCAACGCGAGTTTGATTCCCGCTCGCAGTAACAGTGGAGAATATTTGAAGTGGTCCTGGGCTTTCCCCGAGGTTGACTCAACCTCAAATGGGTAGCTGGTGCGGTGTTTAATCTTCTGCACCGGGGAGACAAAGACAGCCAGGCGTGGTGTTGGCCACCAACCCCCTAGTGCGCCGTGTCGGCCTTCATAAGTTGCCCCAACATTCTGCTGAAGGCTATATGGTGGGTGGTCTTTGTGTTTTTTGTGTGCCGCATCCAACAGGCCCATCACCCTGACCGTGGCCAAGTGCTGGGACCCCACGCCGCGCGGATACTTCACCATCCCACGCAGTGAGTGTGTGCGCCGCCAGACCCTCCCCGTCTTTCTTCCTGCCTAAACGGACGTGAACTCCGTTGTGCACGCACAAACAACTCTGACGCTACTACCTGGGAGCATTATGCCGGGACAGCGCGTAGCAGTCTCCATCGCGAGGCTCCCTTGTGGAGAACCTCCCCTGCCCCCGCCCCCTCACCCGCCTCTACCCCCACCCCCCCCACCCCAATCAAGCGAGAGCTCCTCTCTTATCCCAGAACCTCGATAGCAGCGGTCGACCTGGTGCGGCCACAATTCAGGTTCACGGGTCGTGTCCACCAAATTTACGATGTGAGCCATTCTCAGATGGTTGATTCTCATACGGCTTCACGCAGATATCGTGCACATAGAAAAAAAGGCTTTGTTGAAGCCTCGTGCATCGTCAACGTGCCTGAAGAAGAGCCCTTGGCCAAAAACATTAGCCAACCGTTATACCCTCTTCGTTACATGGAAGTGTTAACGATCAAGGTGGCCGGGTTTTTTGTTGTAATTCTGTCTCTGTACATCTCAACCAACGTTTTTCGTATCTGTGTCTCTTTTACTGGATGTTCTGGACATACATACAAAATGTAAGGCTCCCCAAAATAGTTTTGTGTTGGGGGGGAATGTTTGGGCGCCCAGTAGTGGGCGTTGCAGTTAGCGCAGCCGCGTTATGAACCCGGCGACCGAGCCAAGCTGGTACCTGTCTAGTTGGTTGCTGGTACCTGTTGGTTGCATTTGACGAAGCGTGACTTAACCGTGGTTGTCTCCCCCTCCCCCCTCTTCCCTGGTTGTGACGGTGCTTGTTGTTGTGGTGGTGGTGGTGGTGGTTGTTGTGGCCGTGTGGTTGTGGCGATTGTTGTGGCTGCGCGGTTGCGGTGGTGGTTGTTGTGACCGTGCGCCTGCGGTGGACGTTGCTGCGGTTTTGTGGCGGTGGCGGCGGTGGTTGTTGTTGTTGTTGCTTGCGGTGCGGTTGCGGTTGCCGCGGCGTCGGCGTCGAGCCAGGCGAGCCGGTGCGGCCCATCGACCCCGCGGCGTGGGTGTCGCACACGGCGGCCATGACGGGCGCCTACCCCTACGGGATGACGCACTCCATGAGCGCCCTCACGTCCACCTCCTCCTCCATCTCCAGCTCCGTGCCCGAGTCCGAGAGTGAGCGAGTGCACGCACTCACGCACTCGCGCACACTCGCGCGCAATCACATACGCATCCGCACACTCGGGCGCGCACGCACTCAAGAACGCACGCGTTCGGTCATGCAAACAATCATGCACGCGCACAATCACGCACTCATGCACGCATGTACTAGTGCACGAATGTACTAGTGCACTCACTCGCGTGCATCTAACCGATAACACCCGCACATGCATCATGCTGTTTGATGCATGTTCCTTAAGTGCACAGATGTAATGTTATTGATGAATAAATGTATTGGTACACGTCTAGAAATGCACTTTGCACAACATCCTCTGTGTCATCATCACAAGGGTGTGGTGATTGCTATTTTGTGCTGACGTGACTCCCTCGGTGTCTCCCCATCCCATCTCCTCCACTCCCTCCCATTCCCTCCGCTCTCCCTCCCCTCCGCTCTCCCTCCCCTCCTTTCTGCTTCCTCTCCCTCTTTCTTATCCCTTCCACTTCCTCCCATCCGCTCCACTCTCTCTCCCTCCCACCCTCTCAACTCCCTCCCATTCCCTCCACTCCCTCCCACTCCCTCCACTCCCTCTCACCCCGTCCCACTCTCTCTCCCTCCCACCCTCTCCACTCCCTCCCATTCCCTCCACTCCCTCCCACTCCCTCCACCCCCTCTCACCCCGTCCCATTCTCTCTCCGTCCTTCCCTGGCAGGGTTTGATGAGCTGCACCTCTCCATACACAGCGACATGGCCACGGTGGTGAAGGCGATGGCGTCTCCGGAGTCGGGCCTGGAGGTCCGAGACCGCATGTGGCTCAAGATCACCATCCCCAATGCCTTCATCGGTGAGCGAGCGCACCGCGGACGTTTGCCTGAGGGGGGTGCGGAGCGGCGGTGGAGGAGGGAACTGACGACTTCGTTAACGGCAATCTGGGCCACGCTCGTTTACCGAGGGAGCCTGCGTCTGGTGCTTGGGGGAATTCGTGAAAAGATTTGCTAGCGAACGAAAGCACGAATGTTGGGTGTGCGTGTCTAGTCTACCCACCTGCTCGCGTTCTCATGCGCGCACGCTAATCGCAGAGTGTGTTTTTGTTAATATGTACATTATGAATATTAAAGCACATTTTAGAAAATATTACATGGCCGCGCTTGCTCAAAACAAATACAAATCTCGACATTGATATTGGTAAGCTGGGTAGTAAGTTTCACGTCTCGGAACATAGCATTAGGTAACCTTGTGACCGCGGGTGATTTTAGTCTTATCAGTGCGTCGTTACCTGCCCCAGGTAATGCAGTGTGTCGCTTTGTAGAGAGAGTAACAGACCGCCGTCTATTGCCGGGCGTATTGAAGCGGATCTGTGGCTTGGCCTTTCGCGCGGCTCTCCTTTTGACGTGACGCGTTGCTCCACGCGCGCCCGCGTGCGCCCCTGTCTGCCCGCTCGCTCTCTCTCAGGTTCGGACCTGGTGGACTGGCTCTTCAATCACCTCGAGGGCTTCCAGGACCGGCGGGATGCGCGCAAGTACGCCTGCAACCTGCTCAAGGCCGGCCTCATCCGCCACACTGTCAACAAGATCACCTTCTCCGAGCAGTGTTACTACATCTTCGGCGACCTCTGCGGCAGTACGTGGCACACGCTCTCGTGCGCAGACGTACACATGCACACGAATGCATGAACACGCGCATGTGCTAAAGCACATGCAGCATTGTGTGGATGTTTAACTTCTTTCGCACCATACGTAGCCAACCTTTTGTTGCCGAGGGACGATAATGATGCTTCTGCACACATGCAGTGTGTACACGGACGCACGCCCCGTGATCTGGCGAAGCACGCACACGCGCGGACAATCCAGCTCACCGTCGCATGCTGCATAACGACATCCACACTTGACCGACAGCCACAGAGCGCCAGCCGCTGCGGCCAACTGAGACTGCGCCACCAACTAAGACCGGCACTGGCCACTGTTCTCTCGTGCGCACACCCACCTTCCCGAGCAAGCGGTGGCGCACTTTTGCCGCTTGTGTTCAGAGGGTTCTCAGTTCGAGCTCGGCGTCCGCCTTGATTCTAATACAAACATGGACCGCCCGCTTCGCGGTGAACGTTAACGATCCTGTGACATAACTCGTGCATGAGTAGGTGATGCCTGCCAGCGTCATTAGAAAATCACTCGCAAGTTGGAACCACAATATTTATACTGGAGGAATCCGATGCGCTATAAAGCTCAAGAAAGGTAAGCAATTAACTAAAAAAAATAAAAAAAATAAACGTTTTATTTGAACAAGGTCAATTCCACTGAGATAAGCTTTTTCAGAAGTGACCTGGCCACAAATGATAGCTCGATTTAGTGGCTCATCAGGGGTATAGCCACGTCGCAACATCGCCCCCTCGCTGCGAAACTTCCGCAGGCTATACCTGTCTGTGAGAGACGGCGCCTTGGCGATAGCCCCGCGCTATGGTGACGGCTCGAATACCAAAACGCAGCAACACTTTGAATTAACCCCCAGCTGCTCATCCCGCCCATGCCGCCCGTCAGACATGGCGAACCTGTCGATCCACGACCACGACGGCTCGAGCGGCGCCTCCGACCAGGACACGCTGGCGCCGCTGCCCCACCCGGGCGCCGCTCCCTGGCCCCTGCAGACGGCGTTCCCCTACCCGCCCTACCCCCCGCACCCGTACGGCCCGCTGCCCCCGGGCTTCCCCGAGCAGGGCAGCGGCAGCGCCGGCAGCCAGCACAGCGAGGGTACGTGTGCCAGCGCGGGGGACGCGTGCGGGCGCGGGCGGCCGTTCCGGCGGGCGCGGCGAGTGTGCGGGAGGCTCGTGTTGTGCGTCGGCGCGTGCTACGATGCCGCCCTGCGCACGCGGAAGGACGCCACTTGTGTGCCGTGGGGTGGCGGACGAGCGGAGGGCACGCATCGCGGAAGGACGCCCGTTGAGGAGATGGTGGGAGAGGTGAAATCGGATTGCGCGTAGGCGCCGGGTGGATGCGTTCGGTTGCAAGATTGCGGGAGATGGGGCGACGGTTTGGGGAGGCCCTTATCCAGCGGTGGATTGATTGTGGCTGACGATGAACATGCGTGTCACGTGCAAGCACGTGAGCATGTGATAAGCGCTCTCCCCTGTCGTCTTGTTTGTGCCTCCTATTTTCAAACAAGACGCAAAAATGCGTGAAAAGCACACAGCCGTTTGTGCATTATGCAAAACCCCAACAGTGCATCGTGGTGCCTTTGTCTTCGATCACAATCAAAATAAATTTATGAAAATGTAAGCAACTGACGGCAGCAGTGAACTGGTTTTATAATATTTAGGACTCATCGCCACTCCTGCAAAGTCTGTTGTTTGCTGCATTAACGTGACTTTAACATTTTCATGTAGTTTTCAGCAGTGGGAATAATCCATTTTCGTTCGATTCGTGGATCGTGAATCCATTCTTTAGCTGAATCCCAATCCCGAATTTTAACTACTCTATCAAATCGTTCAGAGGGGAAGAGTGAATCATTGAGATGCCCATCTGAAAGCATTGCCATCGTATAGTTGGCCATCTGGCGTGGAGGTCAGAGTGCTGAGCTGGCGTGAATTATGATCGAATCCACACATCCTCCTGGGATTGAAGCAAAGTTCTTTGATATATAGCGAGTTGATGGTCTCAACCCGGCCATCAATGGTTTGGCACTCCTTCGGCTAAATTTCAGCCCTCAGATATAATAATATTGGTTTGACGGTAATGCTATAAAAAATACCCTCAGTGTGTGGGAAAAGGCTGCCCCCTACTATGTCAAACAGAGGTCACTTGAGCTTTTTAAGCATCTGAGTTCTGTGTAATCCACTTGCACGTGCTGTACTCTAACAAGAAGGGGCGATGCAATGCTCTCTGCAAGCAATCCGAATGGATATTTCGTCTCATTAAATTACGCCGTTACACACAATTGGGACGACGTTGGACGGTCGGGCAAACGACTCCGAAAGCATTGCTGGCTGTAACCTAACGCAGCACGACGTCCGCGTTGTCCCCCCGGCGCGACCCACAGGGAGCCGGAGCAGCGGCTCGAACCGGAGCGGAGGGGCCGAGCGTCGCGGCTCCGTCAAGGAGAAGGACGGCAAGGGCCAGGGCAGCGGCGGAAGCGGAGGAGGGGGAGGAGGGGGAGGAGGGGGAGGAGGGGGCGGCAGCAGCGGGGGCGGCGGCGCCGACTCCAAGTCCGGCGGCAGCGGCAGCGAGTCGGACCACACGACGCGCACGGGCAGCGTGCGGCGCGCGCCCAGCGAGCGCTCGCACCGCAGCCACGCCAGCGCGTCGCACCACAGCCTGCCGCGCAGCCACTACTCGTACGGCGCGCCCGGCGTGCCGCCGCCGCCGCCGCCGCCTCCGCCGGCGCTCGTGTCGGCCGGCGCCCTCCTCCCCGCCGCCTCTGCCGTCGGCGTGTCGCCGGGCGTCATGCCCCCGCCGTACTCGGCGGTGATGATGGGCGGCGCGGGGCATCTCCCGCCCGGCACGATCGTTCCCGCGTCGCCGCCGCCGCCGCCGCCGCCGCCCGCGCAGCTGTCGACGTCGTCGGCGGCGCCGCCCCTCACGGGCCCCCCCGGGGGGCCGCCCATCAGGGACCTGAGTTCTGTGCCGCCGGAGCTGATGGGAAGCCGACAGTCGTTCCGCATGGCCATGGGGAACCCCGACGACTTTAACCTGGACATCATGTGAAGGGGAGCGTGCGTGAGCGTGCGTGCGTCTGGCTGGGCCCTCCGCTCGCCGTCCCCACCTCCCCCGCCCGATTGAGCCGGCGTCGCTCTTTCTGTTGACTCAAAGCTGATCGTAATGAATTTGTTTTTTTTTTCCTCGTCTCTCCTGACCGCGGTGTAGTTTATCGTCGTGTACATAAATGAAGATCAAAAAAAAGTTGGAGGGAAAACGAAAAAAAGAGATGAAGTCAAATCAAAGGAACGGTGGGGGGGGCCGGGGGGTGGTTGGGGGGAAGATTTGCGGGGGCAAAAAAAAAAATGTGGCCATGAAAGCAAAGGGAGAGAATTTACGGAAAACTTTGTTGCCGTCGGTGATCCCGAGGTTCACGCTCGCGTCCAGCGGCTAGTGCGCGAGCGCTGGACGCGAGATTCGCGGGAGCCGGACCCAGGGTGGAACCGCGACTGCGAAAACACGGCGGGCGTGCGGGGTAGGGGGGGGGAAGAAAACTGAAAAAGAAACCGATTCAAGATGGAACAAAAAGATAACGACGTACCACGATATGACAAAGACGCTCATGTCAATACTTGCTACAGGTGCTGTAAAAACAACGGTCGCCCATCCCCGGTGTGGAGGATTTTGTCGTTCGGCTTGCCCGCGTTTCTCTGCGGATTGCGGGCAGCGGGCGTGGTTAGTGTATTTTTAACACGCGTGGGAGGCTTTTGCGACCACAATGGAGGTTTTTTTTTGGATTAGAACGCCTGAATGTAAATGTGTCGTTAAACCCGCCCGCCCGCCCGACACACAAACAATTAGTAAAGTTGCGTGACGTAACAAGAACGTGCCAGTTCGTCACTAGTGCAGCACTAACGGGTGCGTTGGAGAGTAAAGCCACAGCATTGACAAGTCTGGCTGTCGCCTGCTACGGCTGTTTCTGCTCGAGTTGTTAACGTTGTGGCTTTACCCTCCAACACAGCGGTTGGTGCTGTCCTAGTGACGAGCTGGCACGTTCTGTCTACGTGACGCAACCTCACGAATTGGCTGTGTCGGGCGGTGGGCTGGTTCAGCGACACATTTATATTTACGCGATGTAAACCAAAAAGCTCTTATGAAGTGTATTTTTAATCGCGATTCTTTTAAAACCCAACGAGTGATACAGAAAAACCTAAACGATGTAATGTCTTTTTTTTATTTTATTTCCCAACCGCCTGCGAAAGTCTTTTTACGTTTACCCCCCCCTCCCTCCCCCCCACTCTCTGCGTAGAATTACCCATCGCTCTGGAATCATTCGACGCTCTTGAGACGGGGATAAATTGTTACCATCGTATTATATATATGTGTATATTATATATAGAGGCATTTGATGTGAGCGGACCTTCCGAACCCTGGGTTGATATTCCGATTTTCCAATACGACTTGGTTCTACTTCAGTTTACGTTGTTAACTTTTCGTTTCGTTTTTTTCCCCCCCTCTCGCCGATTAAAAACACTAATCGTTGCCCCCCCCCTTCCCCCTTCATAGTCGGGCAAGGCTCCGATTCGGCACTGCCCTCCCTTCTCGGGTTTCTTCGGCTTGAGACTCTCCGCTTCCACGCACAGATTCTTTCCCAGGACCGCGGCGCGAGAGCCAACAAGGCCGAACGTTCTCTCGTGCTGCCGCCATCAAGAATGGGGGGGGGCGGGGGGGGAGTGTCGAGGCTGCACCCTCGCCAACATCGTGGGACAGCTCCGTGAGCCAGCGAGGTGTACGGTGGCGTGGGAGGCGTCCTTCCTCCCGTTCCCAAACCACGCGCGGACTCCTGCTGCCTCCCTCGCCGCAGGGCCCGTAAAGCTTCACGACAAGGCAACAGAAAATACGGCTCTGTGCGACTCGCGTTGCTACCGCCCCCCCCGTGTCTGTCTTGTAAAGCGGTGTTGGGAAACAAGCGCCGCATTTTTTTAATAAGAAGGGACAAAAACGCAACCGAGTTGAAATCATCACCGCCCACCGTCAAACTCCCGCCCCCCACCCCGTACCGCGTGGTTTGGGAACACGACCGTCTTGTCGAGCGAGGGGCGGCTTCCACCCGGCGAAAGCCGAGGCCTTCTCGAGTTAAGGAGGCGCTTGGAAATGAGACGCGAGCCCTTCGAAATGAAATCGCCATCGGGAATCTTAAGAAGTGCCGCGGGCGTTTCACCCGTGCGATTCCAGCAGACGTCTCTCTCCGCCATCCGCGTGTTTCGTTTAATATTCGTTTCATGGTTTTTTTGTTATTGTTATTTATGTTTCATTTCTTTGAACTTTGTGCAATCAGTTGCCTTCCACCCCCCTCCTCCTCTCGCAGTTCCCACTCCGCCCGAGGTCGTCGTTCATTGAGTAGGGGTCAGATTCCGAGTGCGGATCGTTAAAACGTCAAGGACGAGAGAGAGGCCTTCTCTCGACTTGACCTCGGTCATCGCGTGCGGACATCGGCTGCATCTTTTTTGACGGCAACATTCAAATAAAAAAAATTGGCGCGTGCCGATCGGTCCACTCGCGGCGCCGGCAAACGGCAACGTCGCCCGGGCTCCCAAGGAGTTGGCCCCCACTTGTCCACCCCCCCTGCCTCCCCCCCCAACACTAATCTCCCGTCGTGAACTACATCGCTAGCTTTTCATAACTTTGCAAACCTCAACGGTTACGTTTTTTTTATATCGTTTAAGATCGTTCTCACTTTCGTTTGGTTATGGCTGCATCATAGGAGGGTGACGCTGCAGTATTAGCTCCACACTACTACAGTCTCTTCTGCCGTTGAGCATTTTTTTTGTAAAAAAAAATCATTTTGTTTTTGATTAGCGCGCGAGCGCCTTTCTTTTCTTGTTGTTGCGCCTCCTCCCCCATCTCGTGCTTCCGGCAACGCTGGGACACGAGCAGCTCCGACACGGACTGCAGGCTTCAGGGGCATTGCACCACTCGCCGCGGCCATCGGACACCGTCGTCGACACCCCCAGATACCGCAGCTTAGCCGGCGTCTGTCGATTGGTTGCAAAGGCCCTCGTGGCCGTGGCGCTTTCGTTCGTTCCTGCCGCCGCTCTCGAGTGAGCGATGAAGCGGAGCTTTTGGCCCTGGGTCGGTGGTGGAAATTCCACATTCACATGGTAAAACAAAAAAAATCGATTGTTTTCTTTATTTTACCAGCCCCCACCCTACCGCCCGCCCGCCCCGACTGTTAATTTCCAAATGTGTCACGAGGTTAGGAAATTTCCGGTTGGAATTCGTGCAGAAAGCAGGGTAAACGTCCACCACACAGGCGGGTAGCCTCCCCTCTCCACCATCCACAATCGGGGCACTGCACTTTCTCACATGCACTGCTTTGGAGCTGTTTGTCGCACGGCAATTTCTTTTATTTTAATCCTCTAGAAAAACGCTGCATTAAGTAAAAAAAAAATCCAATTTAAATGTGCAGTGGCCTCTGCCTGCAGTAACCAGGCAGAGACCATCGACTTGCTACACTTGAGGACCGGGTTTAAATTGCCGGTGGCTCTAACATCGATTTCTCGGCAGTGCCAACTCTGTGCCTCTTGAGACGGTATGAGCCCTTTGAATTACCCAGTCCCCCCCCCCCCCACCTCAGGTTCAGCGATGAGCGACTGCACAATTGGATACCCTCCTCCCCCCTTTACCTCGAGTCAACCAATCGACAGCTGCGCGTGTGAATGCCCGTTTCCCAGTTTTACACGTGAATGGGATGGGGTGGACGAACTGAACTTTGCAAACCTGTGGTTGGACCCCCGGATCATTACACGGCACGTTTGCTTCCCCGTTGCTGCGAGCCACCATTCGTTGTCTTGAAAAGCAGCATTGGTGCATGCGTGAAGCCGTTCAGGGTTTTGTTGTTATTTGAAGCCTTATCGAAATCTCATTTGTTCTCAATCCAAGTGACCGGGTAAACAGACCTTACGATCGGCTGCTTTGTGGTCTCGTGGTATGATTTGTTACAACCATGTTAATCGTGTTCATTGGATTTGAGGGTGGTCTCCCCCCCCCCCCCCTCTTCCGTAATGGACTGCCGCATGCATCGAGTGGCGTACCCGCAGCCACCTGCTCGCGATTACCGCCGTACAGACGGGAGACTTCTGTCTCGGTGGACACGTATACCTCTTTTTCCACCGTGTCCAACCGAGCTTGCGCCGCGGCCGCGTTGAGACAGCATGGCGTGGCACAAAAGGCGCCAGGTTGTTTTTTTTTTATTTCTCCCCCCCACTTGCAGAAGCCGACGCCGTTGTCCTCGGCAGTGCGCCGACTTCACGTCGCGTGTCCCATGCCTGGTGTCATTTGCCACGCAGCTCCTGGGGGGGGGGGGGGTGTGGTGGGGGGGGGGCGGTCCCTGTTTTCGTCCCGAGAGCGAGATCCGGGTGTGTGGCGAGGCCAGCCTACCACGCACGGCTTGGTTGTTCATGCCCTTCGCCGCAAAGCAAAAAGAGCCAGCGGAATAAACAAAGAAACTGGTGCCTGTGTGACGGCCCTGCACTGGTTTGGCTCAGGTGTCCCAGTGGGAAGAGGAGGGGGTGCGTCAGCCGAGTGCACCGAGACTTGCAGACACGCAGCAGCAATTCTTGTGGATTGGCCCTGAGAGACTGAGTGAGTGTGTGTGTGGTGAGAATGCCCCGTGGTGAACTGACACTAAGCGAGACGCGGCCTACGGTTCTATTTCGGGTCACCAGGAGTAGGCACGCTTTCATCAGATTTCCCTGTTTTTCCAGAACTCTTCATTAACATTCTAATTATCTTTCGTGGTCCATGTGGATCGTGGAAAATGTTATAAGCCCAGGTCAATGTGGGATTGTGTCCCGTAAACCCCTGCGCTGGTGATTAAATTTTGTTTTCACATTTTGATTAAATTTTTTTTCTTTTTGTTGCTAAACGAAACCACGTCTGCCTGCTACGTCGATGGGAGAAGTAAGGGAAGGGGCAATGGGTTGGGCATTTTGGATTGATTCATTTAAGGCCGTTAAAAAAAAATACATCTTATTGTTCACCTTAAAAGAAAAATAATCTCACCGGTACGCCCCGATCTATGGCTTAAGAAACTCGGCCAAATTTGCCATGTGTGAGAGTGTCAAATTAAGGCTGGTGATGGCAATAAAGCCCTATTGAAAATATATCAATTGGAGAGAGGGGGGCCGCCTTTTCGGAAAGAGGCGGCATAGCTTTGTAGTAAATCTGGGGATTATTTTGTGCCTCGAGTCTCCCTTGCCAAAAGAGACGGGCGAATTTATGGTGTTGCCTTTCGGCCAGAAATATCACCCGATGGACGGAAACTTGTGGACATTCGCCCTCCCTCTCTCTCTGTTTTTGTCAAACATCCGTTGGGGAACGAACTTTTGCGCCAACACACGAATGGGGCCCACGCATTGGGCCTTCACTTTCCTTGAGTGAAGCGTTGTCATTTGACTGCACGGAAACATGACCACTTTGCGACGACAGTGCTTCGAGTGAGTGAGTAGTGAATTGCTGGGTGGGTGAGTGAACAAAATTTAAAAAAAATCATTGAATGCGTGAAGCGAGTGATCTGGCGGGGCTAGCGGCTGGGGGTGAGTTGTGAGCGAGCGATTAGTTTGGCAGGCGATCGGGGATGAGTGTGGCCGAACGGAGTAAATCGTTGAATCTCCACAGGTTTCCGCTCGCGTTCGGCAATGGTGAATGGGTGCGAGAGTGGAGTGGCCTCGTGAGTGACACTCCCATCACCCCTCTGAACTGAATCGAGACTCAATGCATCGGTGGTACTGCGCTCTCTTTAAATGTTTATTTGTGGCACCCTGCCCACGTCACATGAAGGAATAGATTTATCCGCGTTTATTTTGTACTTTTGAAAATGACTAAAACCGAACTCTCTTTTTACATTTTTATTTACTTTGGTAAAATTATCTTTACCCCCCCCCTCCTTCCCTCCCCCTTTGTAGCTATTTAACATTGTACTGTAATTCATTTTTTTCGTTCGTTTGTTTAGACACTAGTATTAATAAACACCACATGTTTATCTTGAACGATTGTGGGCATGTGCATTTGGATTGTTGCAACGCGTGAATATTCTCGTGTCGAACAAACTGACGCTTGCGCACGCGCACAAACACAAAGATCCCCCGTATAGCCTGAACAGACTGTTGGGGCAAGTGCCGTTAGCGGAGCATCTTCCGAAGATTGGCACGGCGCACGAGGGGGTGGGCGGCCTGCACCGCGCCCGGCCGCATTTGTCTCCCTAGCGACGACGTGTACACACCTCACCAGCTACTCATTTGAGGCTGAGTCGACCCTAGGGGTGGTGGTGATTTCCCAAGACTGGTTCGGATAAGCGTCACTGCTGTTGGCCTTGAGCGGGTATCTAACTTAGGTCGCCGGGTTCGCAGTGCACTACCCCGTTGCGACCGCTCCCCGCACACCCACGAGGACAATCGCAAAACATACACTTAACGTAAATCGTGGGGATTTTGATGTACAATATAAATGCAGATATATTAAAAAGGCGCTCGTCACCCGTTGCACATTTGACACGCCCTTCAAGAACCGATCTGAAGTTTCATCACCAAAAACAAAGATCCCCCTTATAGCCTGAACAGACTGTTGTGGCAAGTGCTGTTAGCGAGCGCCTATGAAAGCCGGCACGGCACACGAGGGGGTGGGTGGCCAAAGCCACACCAGGCCGCCTTTGTCTCCCCAGTGGGAATGTTTACCACACCAGGTCCTCATTTGAGGCTGAGTCGACCTCGGGGAGGCCCACGACCGGTTCAGAGATTCATAACTGGCGTTGGCTGTGAGCGGGACTCGACCTCGGGTCGCCAGGTTCGTAGCGCAGCGAAGCGCTCACCGCTTCAACCACCATCACCACCATTTGGCCTGAACTCTTCCAAATTGGTCGCCGACTTCTGGGTACCACACCAATCCCTATCTCAGTAACCCGACTTTCTCCACTCATTCCACCCATTACCTCTTCCCCCCCCCGCTCCGCCCTGGTTACACGAATATCACGTGGCGAGATGTTAACTACATCGCACGGTATACAGCAGGTCGTGGGGTTCGATCTCTCTTCCCGTGGTCACGTGGATTTTTCTCTGGGTCCGATTTTTCCCTCCACGCTTATAATCGTGCGTTTAAAGTATTTGGCTGCTTTTAATTTCGACACGATAAGCCACTTCGTTGGGCTGTCATTCGTGAAGCAGGTCGCTTCCGAAAAAAAGAGCTACACACAGCTCAGCGGGCCTTACCTGGTTAAATAAAACAATGATTTAGCTTACATTCCGAAACCTGCAAGCTACTTGCACTATCCATCGTTCACGAGAGCTTCATAAGCAGCCTTCTGCAAAGCTAAAAGTAAAGCAGACACGTGCTGTCTGGTGCGGCCGAGCAGTTTATTGGTGAAGTGGTCGTGACGGCGATGAGCGTTGGGTCGACACGAGTAATTAGCAGCAAAGGAACGTCGTCGCAAGACTCCCGAACCTCTAATCCCACGACGATAAGATTCATCGGAATGTAATCGACCCCGCGGGTGAAAATGTTTGCCTTAAGGAGGGAAGCTATTTTGTCCCCAGGCGCGAGCGACAGGTTTGTAAAAACCTAATTCTTTGCCGGCAAATGCCGGCAACTTTGTTAGTTTCAGATGTTTAAAAAAATGTATTTACATTCGTCGGTGCGTTGAGTGGGTATGCTGTACAATGTGGAGCCTCCATGCCCAGCCACCGCATGCCTACGCAGCGTCTTTTTTGGCCATGCGGTTACGAGCAGGCGCGGCACAGGCTAGAGGGTAGATGGACGAATGTAGTTCAGAAGGACGTGGAGCTGACTGGACTTGCCGATGACTGGCACCAGCAGTGTCAAGATCGGCCTCTGTGGAGGAGGCTCGTGAAGGATTCTGCGGGGGAATTGGGAGGCAATCGCCCTCCGGCAACAACGGAGGGCAGAGGAGCGACGCTCACAACAACGAGCGGAGCATCTGACCAGTCATCTCGGTCCGTCAACCCACGGCACCTGGGCCTGTTCCGTGACCTGCCAGCGGACCGTCGACATTTCCCGTGGCCTCAAAGTGCACCTAGCATGGCACAAGCGCCTTGGTGACCGACACCGCCACTTTGTGGCGAACGACCGCTGTTATGTCACGCGCAATATTGTGCGCGTGTCGTGTTGCACGGAGGACGTTTGATGGTCACGTATTGGCCATCTCCCTCCCCCCTTCGCCTCCACAAACGCTGAGGTAGCCCCCGAACGCCAACTGGCCACAAGACTTCTCGCCCGCAAACGATCATCCCAATGAACCCGATCACCCCAATGAACCCGATCACCTCCCTACTGGCTCCCCGTCCAGTCTCGCGTCAACTTCAACGTCCTCCATAGATTCGCAACCCCGATCCAGCAGCGGAGGCCTCCCGTTGGACCCCCCCGGCCCCTCCCCTCTGTCAACCTCTTGCTCGGTGGGAGGTCGCTTCTTCTCCTTTGCTGCCCCTGAAATATTTATGAAAATCCCTCCCTTTGCAGCCCCATCCTGCCCCAGTCGTCCGTGCTCTCGACTCCTTGCCCGCGTTCAAGTCCCAGACCCTCGCTTCTGGTGACAATCTCTCCTCTGTAAACAAACATATTTATAATATAAACAGCGCTGCGTGTGTATGACCGTCTGCGCGATGCGCGTGTCACCGTTTATGCGGCGTCTTTGAGTCGTGGTTGTATTTCGCGGCAGGATATAAAGTCGAATTGTGTTGTCAGCTCATTGAGGGTTCTTTTAGCTCTGCCTTGATGCCAGTGACAACCCAAAGAGGTCTCCTCTGCCGAGGCGGTAACGAATGTCAACAGGGGGGGGGGGGGGGCACTATGTTGGTTAAATACAGGGTTACTCGCTGCTGAGCAGCTTTCCGTGATTCTGTTTGTGGCACAGGCCCAGACGGAGGACAGCGGATTCCAAGAGAAAGGGATTATCGACCCCCCCCCTCTCGCTCGCGTCTTGTAGCCAACAATCCCCTCGCTGCTGCCACCATCACCACCGCCCACATCATAATCACCATCACCACCGTCCCCGTCAGCACCCGTGGCCATTCGCCACCATCTCTTCTCTCGCACTCGAGACCCATCCCCGTGTTCACCTTGGCATTGACGAAGTTGTCACGTCGTCGTTCAGGGCAGCAGCGCGACGTTCACGCCTTGCGAATCTCTCCGTGTGCGTCTCTCTTCATCGGAATCTTTATTTAGACCGCAGGAGAAATCCGATGAACCGAGAAGCTCTTTTTGCACAGCTGTCCAGTAGAGACATCTGTATAAAAAACGACCGGATGCATCAACTGATTGACTGGAGGCTCTCTGTCAAAATCATGAGTTAGTGTGCTGCCTTTGACAGCTCGTGTTAAGACCTGTGAAAGATAGCTGGCTGTCTAACTTGATTGCTTTGGAGCCGTGTGTCCAGTTGATAGCATGTCGCACCGACTGTTCGCTGGCTCGTGCAATTGAACGCCGGCTATCAATTGCTACTAACGATGTTGGCAGATGCCGATGTGCCACCAACATCTCTTATCGCAACGTCTGCCAAGAGCCCTTCTTCTGCAACTGAACGACTTTCTCGTCGAAGGCGGCTGAATCTAGACACTTCACGTTCGCTTCGCCGCTGAAGGCTTTTTTTGTTTGTTTTGGTGAGTGGTTCAAGCGCTCCTTCGATGTCGAAGACGATCTCACCGTAACGAAGAAGCGAAGCGACGGACGCGTCTCTTTCCCGACGCCAGGCGGAGAGTTTTCTGTACAGGTAAGTGTTGTTGTTGTTGCTGTTGTTTTACAAGATGTGTGGATATTCGTTGTGTCTGGTGATATGACGTCCTTCATTTAACCGCGCGAAGTCCCCGTTGAAATACATTGTCTCTCTCGTGATTCACGTCATGTTTAAGCACATTAGACCCCCATTGAGATTCACGTCCGATCTTTGCCTCCTCGCCTCCGATTAGCACGGTTGGCTACGTACGGTGCGAAAGAAGTTCAGCATACGTACATACAGGGAAAGCTGTATGTACATTTTTTCAGGTTTGGTCTACGGATCTCAGCTACGGTTATTCACTAAGACAAGAATAAAAAGTAAATAGGTGTTTGCCAAATATATAGGGCGTTTCAAAAGTATGTTAACACTTAAATGGGCCTTTTTTATGGAAAAAAGCACGGATAATACACTGTAACATGACAACAAATGTGATATTAATAGCTTCAAAGAGTCAAAGAGTCTCCACTTGTTCACCGTCATTGCCAACGCACGCCTGGAATATTCTCCACGTGGTCTCCAGAGCCCGGAGGCACACTTCTTATGGCGTTGTTGCAAATTCTCGGAAGTGTTAACATTCTTTTGAAGCATCCTGTATATGTAAACAATAATTGAGTTCGGAGTAAGTCGAAGAGATGCGCGACGCACGGGAAAGAAATTCAACAGACGTAGCAGCCAGATGAGCTCACCGAGTTCGAAGGTGGATTGGGGGGAGCTCTTTGCCCGCAGTGGGAAGCTACAAGCTGACAACAAAACGTTAAGCCACGTGAGAGCCAATGAACGGTTAATTAACTCGAGTGATTGACGGCCTATTTTTAGCCACGAGTCTCTATCGACAGGGAAGATTACGACTAAGTCGGCCAGAACGCGCCTGATCTCGTTAGGATCTCCGAAGCTAAGCAGGGACATACTTGATTAGCATCATCATTAAGTTATCCTCATCTGCTGCCATGAATTGTGTGCGCATAGCGGCTTAGTGGTTGCTGTGGCCCCATAAGCCTCGGGGAAGATCGAAGGCAGGGATCTTCTCCGTCGACTCTTGCACGAGTAGGTGGCTTCTTGGTGAACCTAGCCTGGCACAAGCGCCGTGGTGACGTCTCCGCCACTTATTGGCGAACGGCGGTTGTTGTTGTTGTGTGAACTCCCATTTGGCTTCCCAAGCATCTTCAATCATCAGCGTGTCAACAAGAGGCGTGACGTCTTGGCCAAAGACATGACCCCTCTCTCAAACAGCACCAGCTCGGGATTGTGCCAGTGGGAGAAATAAAAACAACAACCCCCAAACCAAACCCCGACGGGTACGGCGATGTGTGTGGGTGTCCGCACTGTGGGGTTTAGCGCAATGCGCTACGAACCCGGCGACACGAATTCGATTCCCGCTCACGGCCAACACTGGTGGCGATTATCTGAACGGCTCCTGCGCAGTGCCGGACGAAGCTAGTGCGGGGCCTTGTAGCGATATGTTACAAAGGGGCCATGAATTTTAAAAATACGTAAATATTAAAAGACAATGTTTTTTTACTTGCGTAGTGAAGTAATTGGATTTTTTCATTTGTCTTCTTTGGTTCTTTCGGTAAAGTCACGTAGAATGAGAATAAAATAATGAATTGATAAAATAAAATAACACAATAATATTCTCACGACGTTTCGGCCACAACACAAGCGGCCTTCATCAGGTGAAGGGACGAGACTGTCTGGTAGGACAGCGCTGGAGTGAAAGAGCCACGTTCAGATCACGGCCTTTAAGCTGTGTGAGAGGAACAAAGCGCCTTGACAAAGGAATTAGCATATAATGTAGCATTGAAATGGCTGAATGATTAGCTTGTGACTGGTCACAGAAATAGTTATGTTAAAAGTTAAAGCATACACATCCGCAGAGGCACCCCTTGACAATGGAATTAGCATAGAATTTAGCATTGAAATAGCTAAGTTAAAGCATACACATCCGCAGAGGCACCCCTTGACAATGGAATTAGCATAGAATTTAGCATTGAAATAGCTGAGTGATTAGCTTGTAACTGCTCACAGAAATAGCTACGTTAAAGTCAGACCATACACATTCACCGAGGCACTTAGTACAAATCAAACAGGAGAATTTAGCATTGAAATAACTAGGCGAATTTAGCATTGAAATAACTGAGTGATTAGCTAGTGACTGGTCACAGAAATGACTATGTTGAAGTCAAGATTCTTACCCTCAACTTTAGAATCCACCCATTTTTTCGCCATATAGCATTGTGATATATAACGACTTATTGTTGGTAGCTTAGCTGATTGGAGAATATAGAGTTTATTGATAACATTAAGGTAATTTATATTTTAGTTTTTATTGGTTCACTATATAGTACTGTGAATAGCTCAGATGTGTAGGCCTTGACTTCAACATAGTCATTTCTGTGACCAGTCACTAGCTAATCACTCAGTTCTTTCAATGCTAAATTCACCTAGTTATTTCAATGCTAAATTCTCCTGTTTGATTTGTACTAAGTGCCTCGGTGAATGTGTATGGTCTGACTTTAACGTAGCTATTTCTGTGAGCAGTTACAAGCTAATCACTCAGCTATTTCAATGCTAAATTCTATGCTAATTCCATTGTCAAGGGGTGCCTCTGCGGATGTGTATGCTTTAACTTAGCTATTTCAATGCTAAATTCTATGCTAATTCCATTGTCAAGGGGTGCCTCTGCGGATGTGTATGCTTTAACTTTTAACATAACTATTTCTGTGACCAGTCACAAGCTAATCATTCAGCCATTTCAATGCTAAATTATATGCTAATTCCTTTGTCAAGGCGCTTTGTTCCTCTCACACAGCTTAAAGGCCGTGATCTGAACGTGGCTCTTTCACTCCAGCGCTGTCCTACCAGACAGTCTCGTCCCTTCACCTGATGAAGGCCGCTTGTGTTGTGGCCGAAACGTCGTGAGAATATTATTGTGTTATTTTATTTTATCAATTTATTATTTTATTCTCATCCTACGTGACTTTACCGAAAGAACCAAAGAAGATGAATCATTGCAGTCACGAAAGCTTTAAATCGAAATTTTTTCATTTGCTATACAGCCGGAAAATACGACAAATAGCTAACCTTAAACACCCAGTCGTTCGTAAAAGTTGAAGGCAGTATAGTACTATAGTAATAGAGCAAGTGCAGAGTCACTGAACCGGAATTGATAGCTTGAAAGCGTTAAGCGCGGGGCCCTTGAAAGTGCGGGGCCCGTAGCTACTACATAGTAGCTACTTGTGCTACGAGGATAATCCGGCACTGCTCCTTGGCCTCCCCTAGGTCGGCTCAGCCTCGAAACGAGTACCCGGTGCGGTGCGTAAAACATCGCCGCTGGGGAGACAAAGGCGGCCAGGCGAGGTGCTGGCCACCCCCCCCCCCCCCCCCCTCTAGTGCACCGTGTGTCGGCCTTCATAGGTTGCTGCTACTCGCGGATCGGCACTGGCCCCCCAACAGTCAGTGAAGGCTACACGGGCCGGTGTGGGGGGGGGTCTTCGTCTCTTCTCGGCAGGCCGCGCTCATGCTGGAGGTTGGGGTCCGCGTGGTGCGCGGCCGTGACTGGCGCTGGGCCGAGCAGGACGGCGGCGAGGGCCACGCGGGCACCGTGGTGCTGGTGGCGCGGCGCGGCGAGCAGGCGGCGCGGGAGGCGCGCACCGTGGTGGTGCAGTGGGACACGGGCGTGCGCGCCGACTACCGAGCCGGATTCCAGGGCGCACACGACCTGCTGCTGCTGGACAACGCGCAGATCGGTGGGGGTGCCCTGCGCACGTGTGTGTGGGTGCGTGGGGGGGGTTTGTGTATGGGTGTGCGTGGGGGGTTTGTGTGTGGGTGAGTGGGGGGTTTGTGTGTGGGTGTGCGTGGGGGGTTTGTGTGTGGGTGCGTGGGGGGTTTGTGTGTGGGTGCGTGGGGGGTTTGTGTGTGGGTGCGTGGGGGGTTTGTGTGTGGGTGTGCGTGGGGGGTTTGTGTGTGGGTGTGCGTGGGGGGTTTGTGTGTGGGTGCGTGGGGGGTTTGTGTGTGGGTGTGCGTGGGGGTTTGTGTGTGGGTGCGTGGGGGGTTTGTGTATCGGTGCTCGCTAACAGCACTTGCCCAAAGAGTCTGTTAAGGCTACACGGGTGATGATGAAGCCGACGATGACAATAAGATTATGACAACGATATTTACGACGACGAAGATGATGATGACAATGATGTCAATGACGATCACGATGATGATCACGGCGACGACGATGATGACAATGGTGATTCTAATCAGGTCAATGATGATCACGATGATGATGATAATGATCGCGACGATGCTTAACGATAACGGCGTTAATGAATGAACCAGTGCCTCCTCCCCCTAACGTTGCCCGCACCCCTTCCCTCCCCCAGGCGTACGGCACCCGAACATCGCGTGCGACGCCTGTGGCACGCGCGGCCTGGCCGGCCTGCGCTGGCGCTGCCTTGCGTGCCCCGACTTCGACCTCTGCACGCGCTGCTACGCGGGCAACCGGCACGAGCTGGCGCACGCGTTCGAGCGCCACGAGCACGCGCGCGCCGTCCCGTGCGTCGCGCGCTCTCGACGCACGCGCTCGTCCATTCGTCCACTCGCTCGCTCCCTCAATCAACCACCCGCTCGTTCGCTCGCTCGCTCACTCGTGCACTCACTCACTCGTCCACTCACTCAATCACCACACTCACTCGCTCACTCACCCACTCACTCGTCCACTCACTCACTCCACTCGCTCACTCACTCAATCACCACACTCGCTCGCTCGCTCACTCTACCCACTCGATCGCTCGCTCACTCAATCACCCCACTCGCTCACTCACCCGCTCAGTCAACCACCCACTCACTCGCACGCTTGCTCTCAAACTCTTCCACTTCCTCACTCACTCACCCCACTCGCTCACTCGCCCGCTCACTCGCTCGCTCACTGACCCACTCAGTCAACCACCCACTCACTCGCACGCTTGCCCTCTCACTCGTCCACTCACTCAGTCAATCGCCACACTCGCTCACTCACTCGTCCACTCACTCACTCACTCACCCTACTCACTCAATCACCACACTCACTCACTCAATCACCACACTCACTCACCCACTCTCTCACTAGCTAGCCCGCCCACTCATCCACTCACTCACCAACTCAGTCAACCATAAACTCACCCTCTCTCTCACTCATCATCTCACTCACCAACTCAGTAAACCATTCACTCACCCACTCACCCACTCACTCCCCCACTCACTCTCCCAATCATCCACTCACTCACCAACTCAGTCAACCATCCACTCACCCACTCACTCACCCACTCTCACACTCATCCACTCACTCACCAACTCAGTAAACCATCCACTCACCCACTCACCCACCCACTCACTCCCCCACTCACTCTCCCACTCATCCACTCACTCACCAACTCAGTCAACCATCCACTCACCCACTCTCACATTCATCCACTCACTCACCAACTCAGTCCACCATCCACTCACCCACTCCCCCACCCACCCACTCACTCTCCCACTTATCCACTCACTCACCAACTCAGTCAACCATCCACTCACCCACTCACTCACCCACTCTCACACTCATCCACTCACTCACCAACTCAGTCAACCATCCACTCACCCACTCACCCACCGATCCACCCATTCAGCTCCCCAACTCAACTGAAATTCTTTTTTTCAGGACCCGTCTTGAGACAGAGAGGCTATCCAGCGTAACCAAAGTTCTAATCATTATAATAACACGACGTCTAATAAACGTTAGCGTGCAGGTGGTGGCAACGGGGCTTGCTGTGATCCCTGCGAGGGATGAGCTGAGATTAGCGCGGAGGCGCGGGCAAGGGCATTTGGAGGCCGAGGCCGCGTGCCCACGCTCCAGTGACCATCGATAATCCAGCTGTGCGGGGAGTGGGGGGTTGGTGGACCATGGAGTGATGGAGAACATCGAGCGTGGGTGTGTGTGGGGAGCCTTCGCAGGTGCTCGCTAACAGCACTTGCCTCGGCAGCCTGTTAAAGGCTATACCGTGCGTGGGATCTTTTGTCTTTGGGGAGCGGTGGCGCAGTGGTTAGCGCACTGAGAACCAGTTTTCGATGGGGACCTGACGACACAATGGAAACCATGGTTACAGCAAATAACAAAACGCTGTTGAAGGCCGCGTCAATGGTGAGTGCACTGCACTAAGAACCCGGCGGCCCGAGTTCGATTCCCGCTCACGGCCACCAACACCAGTGACAATCATGTGAACGGGTCCTGAGCCTCCCCTAGGTCGACTCAGCCAGAAATGAGTACCTGGTGCGGTGTGTAAACCATCACCACGAGGGAGACAAAGGCGGTCGGGAGTGGTGCTGGCCACTCACCCACTGATGTGCCGTGCCGGTCTTCATAGGTGCTAGTCGCTCACAGCACTTGGCCCCTACAGTCAGTTAAAGACTACATGGGGGATCTTTGCCTTTGGCGGGCGATAGTGCATCACGAATCGTCTATTGATTCCCTATCTCACCATTGTGTATATTACAAAATCGTATTTGGCTGCTGGAGCATTTGGCTACCGCTATAGATTTCCACACGACGGGAAGCCACTTCGTAGAGCTACATAGCTCAGTGGGCCTTACCTGGTAAAATAAAATAAAAATTAGCTTATATTATCTCTCGTGATTGGCTTCCTTGATTTGACCGCGTGTGATTTCCCAATCGATGATAAGCATCTTGTACGGGTTGTAATTTGCTGATGGTTACATTGCCCTCTTTGCCATGAATAAAAAATAGTTTAGTTTTAACTGTTTTTTCGTTTTACACGTTCCTCCATTGTGCACATTCCTGCCAATACTGTCCAAAAACACAGACACGGCGATTTCACCACCTCCACACTCTCACTCACGACTGGCACCCGAGTCTAACCGCGTGCCCTGTTGCTCCGTAGGGTGGCCGTGGGCTGCCGTCTGGGCCTGCAGAGGGTGCCACTCATGGGGACATTCCCGGGGGCAAAGGTCGTGCGAGGGGTGGACTGGGAGTGGGGCGACCAGGACGGTAAGTTGACACGAGCCACTTACAATCCAACATGAACCTGATGTGTTTTCTGCATTAATACGGGGCTCACTTAAAAAAAAAGAAAATGCCCCAGAAACTTAGAAGCGCCTTACATCTCATCACACCCCCCCCCCCAGTGGCAGCAATTTGTTGTTGTTTACAACTGCATATATGATTTGATTTTATCAGGCAAGGCCCACTTGAACGATATAGCTCTTTTTTTTCAGAAGCGACCTGGCTATCACAAACAACGATAGCTCAGCGAGGTGGCTGATCGTCACGTGGACATTGACAATTGACACGAGCCACTTGCAATCCAACATTAACTTGATATATGTTCTGCGATGGGACCCCCCCCCGCCCCCCACTCTGGCGGAGGAGGCGGTGCCGGTGGCGTGGGCCGCGTGACGGAGCTCCGCGGCTGGGACGGCGACGAGCTGTGCGGCATGGCGTGCGTGCTCTGGGAGGCGAGTGGCAGCCGCTGCGTGTACCGTGCCGGGCACCGGGGCCGCGTGGACCTGCGCTGCGTCAGCCCAGCCCTGGGTGGCCACTACTTCCGGGAGCACCTGCCCAGCCTGGGTACGTCCTGACTGAGGCTCCACTGATAAGCCCCCCCCCCCAAACCCCCACCCCCATTTTTTTTCCACTGGCACACCTGAGCCGAGCCGGCTTCGAGGCCCTCTCGACTCTTTGTGCGTGTCGGGAGCGGTGGTGGAGCGGTTAGCGCGCTGCGCTACGAACCGGCGACCCGAGTTGGATTTCCGCTCACGGCGAACACCGGTGACTATTATCTGAATCGGTCCTGGGCCTCCCCTAGGTCGACTCAACCTCAAATGAGTACCTGGTGCGGTGTGTAAAACATCACCGATGGGGAGACAAAGGCGGCCGGGCGTGGTGTTGGCCACCCACCCCCTCGTGTGCTGTGCCGGCCTTCATAGATGCTAGTCGCTGACCGCGCTTGCCCCAACAGTCTATTACAGGCTATACGGGGGATCTTTGGTATTTGTGACCAGAATCGTGTCAATGAATTGATAACGGGCACAGGTTCGCGGGGTGCTTCTTAATCTCCCGGAGCGACTCATGCAATCCGGAGAGAATCCTTTAAACCGTCGACAAAGAGGGGCAAAATCTGTGACGTTTTGGTTCGTGAACCCTGGCGCCTCTCCCGCCACCACCACCACCACCACGCAGGGCATGGAGCGGCGCTGTGCGGGTCGGAGCGCCTCTCCTCGGCGTCACCGCTGCCCGCGTCTCTGTTCCGCCCGCGCGACGCCGTCCGCTGCGACGCGCGGCCCAGCGCGTTGCGTGTCCTGCAGCGCGGCCACGGCGGCTGGAACAGCGAGATGACTCAGGTGGAGCGGGCAGCGGCGGTACGCGCGGGGGGGGGGGGGATGGTCACGGCGTGAGCACGAGGCTCGAGTGTGGCCGCAACGCAAACCCTGACCTCAAACAGAAAATTTGACCTAACCCCCCCCAACGCAAACCCTGACCTTCCCCCCCCGCCCCCTAAGCAAACCCTGACCCTCCCCAACTCAAACCCTGACCACCAACGCAAACCCTGACCCCCCCAACTCAAACTTTGACCCCCAACGTAAACCCTGACCCCCCCCCCCCCCCCAGTTCAAACCCTGACCCTCAACGCAAACCCTGACCTCAAACACAAACAGCACTTGCCCCAACAGTCTGTTCAGGCTATACGGGGGGTCTTTGTCTTTGTCTCTGGGGAGTGGTAGTGTAGTAGCCAGCGCACTGCGCTACAAGCCTGGTTACCCGAGTTCGATTCCCGCTCACAGCCAACATCGTTAACGGACAACCGGACCAGCCCTGGGCCTCATCCTACGTTGATTCATCCTTGGAAGACAACCCGGTGCGGTGTGTTAACATCAGCATTGGGGAGACAAAGGCGGCCGGGCGTGGTGCTGGCCACCCACACCCTTGTACGTGTGGCCGTGCCGTCCTTAATAGGCGCTCGCTAACAGCACTTGCCCCAACCGTTAACGTCTACGCGGGGAGATCTTCGTCTCTTGTGCGGAGCAGCGGCGGCGGCGGGGGCGGCGTATCGGTTGACAAAGCCACTGCAACAAACCATGAACCCTGACCCCAACTCTGACCCTGACCGCTGAGCCCTCCAGAACATAGGGCGTCTCGTACGGGCGTACCGTGTGACGGAGAGCGGGGACGTACGCGTGGCCTACCCCGGCGGCACGCGCTGGACCTACAACCCACACGCGCTCACCAAGGTGGGCGCGTGAGGGGGCAACGCTCTGTCCAGTACAGATGGAATAGATGGCGATTAGTCCGCACTTGCTGGCTCGCCGTCTCCTCGGCGAGCCAGCAAGTGCCTCCCAGTACCTTCCCATGCCTCCCAGTACCTTCCCATGCCTCCCAGTACCTTCCCATGCCTCCCAGTACCTTCCCATGCCTCCCAGTACCTTCCCATGCCTCCCAGCGCCTTCCCATGCCTCCCAGTACCTTCCCATGCCTCCCAGTACCTTCCCATGCCTCCCAGTACCTTCCCATGCCTCCCAGTACCTTCCCATGCCTCCCAGTACCTTCCCATGCCTCCCAGCGCCTTCCCATGCCTCCCAGTACCTTCCCATGCCTCCCAGTACCTTCCCATGCCTCCCAGTACCTTCCCATGCCTCCCAGTACCTTCCCATGCCTCCCAGTACCTTCCCATGCCTCCCAGTACCTTCCCATGCCTCCCAGCGCCTTCCCATGCCTCCCAGTACCTTCCCATGCCTCCCAGTACCTTCCCATGCCTCCCAGTACTTTCCCATGCCTCCCAGTACCTTCCCATGCCTCCCAGTACCTTCCCATGCCTCCCAGCGCCTTCCCAAGCCTCCCAGTACCTTCCCATGCCTCCCAGCGCCTTCCCATGCATCTCTGTATCTTCTTATGCATCACGACTCTTTCTCTCCATCACCTCGTGCATTTCACGCCCCCCTCCCTCTCACCTCATCACCCCCCTCCCCCGGCCACCCCCTCGCACTCACCCCCCCCCCCCGTGGCTTACCAGGTCCCTGGAGCCATGGGCCGCGTGGCGTCGGTTTTGCCGGACGGGGCGGTTCGCGTGCCCCTCGCGGACGACTCCGCGTGCCTCTCGGCGGCCGCGCCCGAAGAGGCCGCGCGGCCCAAGACTCGCGGGGCGAGTGAGCGGCACGCACGCACAAAGACAAAGGTCCCGCCACAACCCCCCCCCCACCCCCGGCGTAGCCTTTAACAGACTGTTGGGGCAAGTGGGGGGGGGGGGGGGAGGGGTGGCCACCACCGCGGCCTTCCGCCCGCCTTTGGTCTCCCGAGCGGCGATGTTTTGACTCTCCGCACCAGGTGCGCTCATTTGAGGCTGCGTCGACCTAGGGGAGGCTCAGAACAAAATCGTCACCGGTGTTGTTGGCCAGCGAGAGGGAATCGAGCCCCGGGTGGCCGGGTTCGTCGCGCAGTGCGCTGCCCGCCTTCATCGGCGTCGTGTTATTTGCTGTCCCCACGTGTCCATTGTGCAGCCAGGTCCCCATCGACAGCTTGCATTATTGTCCGATGGGATGTTTACCTGTGCCAACAGAAACAGACAGACACACTCACAGTGGCGTCCTTGGCGAGGTTGGCATCGGCCCTGGTGCTAATAATTAAATGCCCCCCCCCCAACCCCTGCTCCTCCAACTCCGGACCCTCCACCACCCGACGTAGCCATACAAACGATAATCTGCCAACGTGTGCAAGCGTATGACGCGTCGTCGTCGTCATCGTCGTTATCGTCTATTACCGTCATCGTCGTCGTCACCGTCATCATCGTCGTCGTCATCGTCATCGTCATCATCCTCGTCGTGACCATCATCGTCGTCGTCAACGTCGTCATCGTCGTCATGTCGGCCCACTCACCTGGTAGGTTAAAGAGCAAATTGTCACGGCGTTATCGACGCGCGTGCCGCGCGCGGTGCGGTGCGGTGTGGCGCGCGCGCAGGCTCGCTGGGCTCTCTGCTCGAGGTGGTGCTGCGTGGGGGACCACCGCCGCCCTCGTCTCGCCCCTCGAGCCCCCGCGGAGTCCCCCCGGGGCTGCTGCTCGTCACGCACGCGGCGCTCGGGCACGTGCGGAAGATGCGCGCGTTGCTCGACGCGTTCCCGGACGAGGTGCGTGCGCGCGGACGTCGCTCGCTCGGTATCCGCTCGCTGTCGTAGAGAGAGCGAGAGAGGGGAGAGAGGACGACTCGGAGTCGCGAGATGTTAACTGCCTCGCCAGGTGTGCAGGAGGTCGTGGGTTCGATCCCGACCCCGACGCCTGCTGCTGTATATTTGGAGTTTGTGTGTGTCTCTCTCTCTCTCTGTCCCCTGTGGCCGCGTGTATCTTTCTCCGGGTCGTCCGGTTTTTCCCTCCACATTTAGAAACAAAGTGGGTGGGTGGGTGAGTGCGTGGGTGGGTGGTTGAGTGGGTGGGTGAGTGCGTGGGTGGGTGAGTGCGTGCGTGGGTGGGTGAGTGCGTGGGTGGGTGGGTGCGTGGGTGGGTGAGTCCGTGGGTGGGTGCGTGGGTGGGTGAGTGGGTGGGTGAGTGCGTGGGTGAGTGCGTGGGTGGGTGAGTGTGTGGGTGAGTGTGTGTGTGGGTGAGTCCGTGGGTGAGTGGGTGGGTGAGCGGGTGGGTGAGTGCGTGGGTGAGTGCGTGGGTGGGTGAGTTCGTGGGTGGTTGAGTGGGTGGGTGGGTGAGTGCGTGGGTGAGTGCGTGGGTGAGTGGGTGAGTGCGTGGGTGGGTGAGTGCGTGGGTGAGTACGTGGGTGAGTGGGTGGGTGAGTGCGTGGGTGGGTGAGTGCGTGGGTGGGTGAGTGCGTGGGTGAGTGCATGGGTGAGTGCATGGGTGGGTGCGTGCGCGCTGGCAGGTGGACGCGCAGGTGGAGGGCAAGACGGCGCTGCAGGTGAGCGCGCACCTGGGCCACGGTGCGGCCGTGTCGCTGCTGCTGGAGCGAGGGGCCGACGCGGCGCGCCGGGACCCCGACGGAGACACGGCCCTGCACTACGCGGCCTACGGGTACGCAAAAAGCCCAGGCCTTGGGGGGCCGGCCCCCCACGGGCCCCCCCCCCCCACCCACCCAGGCAGTCCGGGCCGATTGAGCCACAAGAGCCGTAACAGGGTGATTTATCCTAGATAGGTCATCGCTGCCCTTGGGGGTCATCGTCACTGTGAAGGGATTCTGGAAGCGGCTCTATGGCCCAAGAAGAGCTTTGGTTTCGCGACGCCGTTGCTGCTTTCAGGACAGGGCTCAGTTTGAGACGACTCGCAAGAACGGCCACAGGTGGAGCCCCTGTGGCCTAGGGCGGTCCATCTCGCGGTCAGCCCCGCGGATCGAGGGAGGCTAGAAACGAAGGGGTTTCGGAAGCGGTTGTACGGCATCTGGTTTCCACGGGCCGTGCGCGAGCACACGGCGGTGACGCTCCGAGCCCAGGACAGAGATGAAAGGAAAGTGGGCGCGCTCCAGAGAGAGCAGTGTTCTTCACAAACTTCAAGAGGTGTGGCACTTTCGCCGACAAGACATCATCAGTGTGTGAGTGCTGTCACATCATTTGAAGCCATTGGGGGTTTAACAGCAGCGCGATGATGATGATGATGGGGTGTGTTTCCACCGTTTGTGTGATTGTCGGAGGGCCGCGCGTCAGGGGCCGCGGCTAAAGGCCACCAGGGGCCACCAGGGGCCCGCCGGGCCTTGCGATGACGAGCACCGCTCCAGAGGAAGGGTGTTGCCAAGCTGCATGGTCCTTCAGGTTTCGTGAAGGAAATTTTCAGTTTCATGTATTAGTTATAACACCGTGAGCCATGCGGCTCTTGACTCGGGTGCAACCGCAACAAAACAAAAACATGAACAAGAAAACATCTTTAAAGTGTCTACGCGCAACAGAAAAATCCAGCAAAAAGCAGCAAAGTCTTACAGAGAAAACACCGCATTTCAACGCTGTGTGCAAAAATCCCAGTGGGATGCAAGTCAAACAATAACAACCATAAGACAATGTAGATTAAAAGTTATCAGGCTAACTCTGTACTACAACAAACAAATATGGCTAAACCAAAACGTTTTCAAAAATCACCAAATTAAAGCTATAAAATAACAATGTAACAGTGATCATAGGAACTGTGATTCAAATTTAACAATAAACGATATACTTAACATGTACGACCAAACTTTGCAGCCATAGCAAGGGAGGCTGCCAGCTCACTGGACTTGCCACCCAGAGGTCGCCGGTTCGGTGCGGTTGATGAAATGGTGGCGCTGGTTTATTAACCCCTCCTCCACTCCTCCCCACCTATGTCTACCGAGCAAAAGAAATGGGTTCAACCGTGGTCGATCGACTGTCCGCGTACGGTGGGGTAATATGTGGGCGCCGCGGTGGTGAAATGTTAACTCGCTCGCCTGGTATGCAGGAGGTCGTGGGTTCGATCCCGACCCTGACGCCTGCTGCTGTATATTTGGAGTTTGCGGTGTCTCTCTCTCTCTCTCATCATCATTACAGTGGCGAGGAGATGTTAACTCCCTCGCCTGGTATGCAGGAGGTCGTGGGTTCGATCCTGACCCTGACGCCTGCTGCTGTATATTTGGAGTTTGCGGTCTCTTTCACTCTCCCCTTGGCCGCGTGGATCTTTCTCCGGGTCCTCCGTTTTTTTTTTAAAAGAGTATTTGGCTGCTACTGCTGCTACTGCTGCTGTAAATTTGCGGTTCTCGCGTTGGCGGTCGCTTACGAGCCCCCCCCCCCACCCGTCGCAGGAGCCGCGAGGCGGTGTGCGAGCTGCTGCTGACGAGCGGCGCCGACCCAGACGCCGTGAACGCCTCCGGCTGCTCGGCGCTGCACGTGGCGGCCAACCGCGGCTACGCGGAGGTGGCGCGCGTCCTTTGTGACCACGCGTGTGACGTCAACGTGCAGGTGGGCGGGGCGCCGCCCCCGTTCTGCGTGTGTGTGTGTGAGGAGTGTGTAAGTGTGTGTGTGAAGAGTGTGTGTGAAGAGTGTGTGAGTGTGTACGTGTGTGTGAGTGACGGGCAACGTTGTCGTGGACAGTGCTGTGGGGGGGAGGGCTAATTCCGATTGGCCTTTCCCCTCAGGGCGTTTGTAACCACCACAGTGGATAAATGGGGGCTCTGGAGAGGTGTGAGGGGCTGGTAACCCCTCCACCTTCAATAAATTACCACGAAACCACGTCTAAAATATCTACAGGCGTCTATGACGTCTCCTGGCCAAACCCCATTTGGCGGAGTCAGGAGATTGAATCTTTACCCTCGGGGCTCCTCCAGAAACAACAAAAAGCCACTACGGATGGCCACGTGGAATGTTCGAACGCTCACTGCAGAGGAGAGGCTGCCACTCCTCTGTCGGGAGCTGGAATAGTACCGCCTGGATCTCTGTGGTATTCAGGAGGTCCGGTGGACCGGCTCTGGCTCCTGCCATCATAAGGGGTGGACAGTCCTCTACTCCGGGCAGGAAACTACCAAACAACAGGGAGAGGCTCTTCTTATGAACAAAAGAATGAAGGGGGCGTGGGAGCATGGCGGTGAGGTGTGGGAAGCTGTAAGCCCCAGGCTATTTTGGGCTCGCCTTCCGATCAACCGGAGGCGAGGAGTGGTGGTCGTGGTTACTTATGCTCCCACCGAATACGGACATCCGTTGAGGGATGCAGGCAAGGCCGATGAGTCAGATGCCTTCTATGACGTCCTGTCACAGAGTCATCTTGTTGGGTGACTTCAATGCCCGAGTTGGTCATGATGCTGGCACCTGGTCTGGAGTGATTGGAAGGCATGGGCCAGATCAGCTCAATAACAACAGTAGGAGGCTGCTAGGTTTTTGTGCAGCCCATGGGCTTGTAATTACAAACACGCTGTTCCGGCATCGGCGCATCCACACATCATGGATGCGTGCCAGGTCCAAGAAAGAGCATCTGCTGGACTACATAGTGACGGAACAGCGGATGCGGGCCCATGTCCTTGACACCAGAACCTACCGTGGAGCTGATCTGCCCTCTAACCATCGACTTGTCATCTGTAAGATGCGCCTGCCATTCTTCCACTCCGGTGGTGGGTGTATACCCAGGACCACATTCAAACCTGAGGTGGCCTGGTCTCAGCTAGCTGATGAAAGTTGCAAGCGAGAATTTCATCATCGCTTGCGGCTGGGGTTGGCATCGTTCCCCACTCCTCCAAATGTCGAGGGTAAATGGGCAAGGTTTAGGACTGTGACTCAGGCAGCTGCAATGGCTGCTTTGGGTACGCGGTCCAGACCTCCCCAGAGACCCTGGCTGACAGAGGAGGTGTTCAGGATGGCTGAGAAAAAGCGACAGGCCCACTCTAATCGTCTACAGCATCCCACGTCAGAGAATGAGGAGGCTTACCACAGCCTTCGCTCAGAGCCGTGAGGCACTGCATGGATGGGTGGTGGTCGCGGGTTGCTGAGGAGATGGAGCCTGCCTCAATGGCCTGCGATCACAAATCCCTATTTAACTACATCAAAAAAGTAACATGCAGCGCCACACCTATTAGGGCAAAAAACGGTGATCCAATCTCCGACCCCCAGGAACAGGTTTGCAGATTTGCTGAGCATTTCTGTGAAGTCCTGGGGGGGGGGGGGTTAATCTCTCGACATGGAAAACATCGTGGCACAAAGTCGGGATGACCCTGCTGAGGCTGCGGTGCCTCAAATATTGGAAGAAGTCACCCCCTGTGAGTGGCTGGCTGAGGTGCCATCTGTTGAGGGAGTACTGAAGGCAATCAAGAGTCTGAGACCAGGAAAGGCACCGGGCCGAGATGATCTCCCAAGCGAAATGCTGAGGGAGGGTGGCGTTTGTGCACAGACTGCCCTACATGATATCATAACAACAGTCTGGAACACTGGACGGGTTCCGCAGGATTGGAATGATTCCCTTGTGGTTCCCCTCTTTAAGAAGGGGGACCGCACAGACTGTAACAATTACAGGGGCATCTCACTCCTCAGTGTGCTGGGAAAGGTCCTGGCAAGGATTATTCAACATTGCCTTGCCGGGCACGTTGAGGAGAGGCTTGCGGAGCCCCAATGTGGTTTCAGGAAGGGGCGGTCCTGCACAGACGCCATATTTTCTGTCCGTTTGCTACAGCAGAGGTGTAGAGAATTCCAATAAGACCTACATCTCTGCTTTATTGACCTGGTCAAGGCCTATGATACTATCAGTAGGCCTGGGCTCTGGGTTGTTTTTCATGCGTTCGGAGTCCCTGACCCTCTGCTCATGATCATTGAGACCTTCATGATGGTGAGCAGGCCCAGGTAAAACTACGTGGCCGGGAGTCGGAGCCATTCCCTGTTCACCTTGGGGTGCGACAGGGATGCCCTCTGGCTCCCACATTATTTGACATATTTTTCGACCACTTAATTCGTGAAGCCTTTGATGGTTGTACCAGAGGAATTTCCATCTGGTACAGATACAATGGGAGGCTGATCGATGCCCGGGTGCGGTCAAGGGATGGCTCCCTATTGGTCAACCAGGTTATGTATGCCGATTATTTAGTAATTGCCGCTCACTCAGAGGAGGAGTGGGAGGCGCTGCTGCTGAAACTGGAGCGTGCCACTAAGAGGTGGGGTCTTACCATCAGCCCAACCAAAACTAAGCACCTGCCTGGGTATTTTGTACCATCAGGTACTCCACCCCCACAACTCCCAAACGGTGATGGGGCAGTTGTGGAGAGAGTGGAGAGTTTCTCATACCTGGGCAGTGTGCTCATGACCGGCTCTGTTTTGACAGCAGATGTTTCACTCAGAATCAGTCGAGCGGCATTATCTTTTCATCGGTTGCATAACGCTGTGTGGTGTCAAGATCGGCCCCTGTGGAGGAGGCTCGTGAAAGACGCCTATGGGCAGTTGGAGGCAGTCGCCCTCCAGCAACAACGGAGGGTGGAGGAGCGACGCTCACAACAACGAGCGGAGCGCCGGGTGGCTAAAGCACAGCAGGTTGGCACAGTAGGGGGCACAGGTGGTGCATCAGCCAGTCGTCTCAGTCATCGACCTGTGGCACCTGAGTCTGCCCCGTGACCTCCTGCAAGCAGGCGTTCGACACTTCACGTGGCCTCAAGGTGCACATAGCCTGGCACAAGCGTCGTGGTGACGTCACCACCACTTAATGGCGAATGGCGGTTGTTGTTGTTGTGTACGTGAGTGTGTGTGTAAGGAGTGAGTTTGTGTGTGTGAGGGGTGTGTGAGTGTATGAGGAGTGTGTGAGTGTGTACGTATGTGTGCGAGTGTGTTAGGAGTGTGTGAATGGGGAGCGTTCGTGCGATGGTTACTGCGCTACACTACGAATCCGGCGTCCCGAGTTCAATTCCCGCTCACGGCCACCATCAATTATCTAAACCAGTCCTGTGCTCCCTTAGGTCGACTCGGCCTCAAACGAATACCTGGTGCGGTGCTGACCACCCACCCCCCTCGTGTGCCGTGCCGGCCTTCGTAGGATGCTCGCTAACGCCATTTGCCCGAACGGTCCGCTGAAGGCTATACGGGGGGTGGGGGGGGGGGCCTTTGCCTTTGTGTGGGCAGGACGCGTGCGGGGACACGGCTCTGCACGACGCGCTGGCCAAGGAGGCGCGCGGCGTCGCTGCGCTACTCCTCGACGCGCCCTCGGCCGACTTCTCGCTCCGAAACCGCCACGGCTTCAACATCCTGCACCAGGCTGCGCTCAAAGGGAACCAGCAGTGAGCGCCCGCGGTGACCCACGCCTCGACCGGGGCGCCACCGGTGGCTAGGAGATGTTCACTGCCTCGCTTGGTCTACAGGAGGTCGTGGGTTCGAACACGACCCTGACGATGCCTGCTGCTGCTGTATATTTGGAGTTTGCGTGTCCCTCTCTATCTCTCTCCCCGTGGTTCATGTGAAATTTTCGCCGGGTCCTCCGGGGTTTTTCCCCCTCCCACATTTAGAAGCTGATAATGCTGCTGCTGATGCTGCTACTGCTGCTGATGGCGATGATGCTGCTGCTTCTGTCGCTGCTGCTGATGGCGATGATGCAGCTACTGCTGATGCTTCTGTCGCTGCTGCTGATGGCGATAATGATGCAGCTGCTTCTGCCAATGATGCTGCTGATGATGGTGATGATGCAGCTACTGCTGATGCTTCTGTCGCTGCTGCTGATGGTGATGATGCTGCTGATGGTGATGATGATGCAGCAGCTACTGCTGCTGCTGCTTCTGCCGATACTTGCTGCTGGTGCTACACCTGGTGACGCTCATCATCATCCCCCACTTGCACCTTTTCATCTTTCACCCACTCGGGCACCCACCCATCCTCTCTCTCTCTCTCTCCCATTCCGACCCCGTGACCTGACCCCCAACTTTGACGCTCCCCATGACCCTGACCCCCGACTCTGACCCCCCCCACTCCAACCCGTTCCCCCCGCACAGAGCGACCTCCGTGGTGCTGGAGCGAGCGCGCCAGCTGGTGGACGTGGCCAAGGAGGACGGCTACCGCCCCGTCCACCTCGCCGCTTTCAACAACCACGCCGCCGTGGTGCGCATGCTCCTCCGCCAGGTGAGCGCACGGCAGCTCGGGCGAGGATTTCCGGTTGTCGTCGTAATTGTTGTTGTTGTAGTTGTTGTATTGTTTTAGTCGTATTGTTGTAGTCGCTGTTGTTGTTGTCATAGTCGTTGTTGTTGTTGACGTTCTCCGAGTCGTTGTGTCGTAATTGTTGTCGGTGAGAACACGCAAAACTCCAAACATACCGCAGGCGTCAGGGTTCGAACCCACGACCTCCTGTACACCTGGCGAGGCCATCAACATCTCCGAGCCACCGCGGCGCAAGGTCTCTGCGCGGCACGTTGGCGTCGTCTCGACCCCCCTGCCCCCTGCCCCCTACCCCCCCCCCGCGGTCTCAGGGCCGCTGCGACGCGGACGCGGCGACGGGACGGCTACAGACGGCGCTGGCTCTGGCGGCGGGCCAGGGCCACGCCGGGGTGGTCCTGGCGCTCGTGCGCGACGGCGCCTGCTCGACGAACGTCCGCGACGCCGCGGGGCGCACGGCGCTGCACGCCGCCCTGGGGGCGCGCCGACTCCACGCCGCGCCCTGGCGGCCCCAGCCGGCGTCCGGGGACGAGGCCGAGATGCTCGCCGAGGTGAGGAGGGGATGATGTTGCCCCCCACCCCCCCCCCAAGGCTTACGAACGCGGTCACGCTCGGGTCGAAGGCTCTTGACGCTCGCACTGACCGCTCCCTGACGCGCGGCGCGCGCGCGCAGCTGCGAGAATCGGGACTCTTCCCGGAGGCGGCGCCGGTCGGAGTGGCCATCGCGTGCTTCCTCGCTCAGTGTGGGGGGGACCTCTTTGTCCGCGACCACGCCGGCCGCTCGCCGCTCGGCCTGGAGCCCGACCCCGGCGTGCGTCAGCTGCTCGGTCACTTCGCGCAGAGGCACAGGTTCGCTCCGCCCGCCCACGGCCGCTCGCGCGTGTGTGTGTGAGAGTGCGTGCGTCTAGCGTGGCCACGACAGTCTGTTATACGGGGAGGGTGGATCGTGGGGAGCGTTGGTGTAGCGGTGAGCGCGCTGCGCTACGAACCTGGTAACCCGAGTTCGATTCCCACTCACGGCCATCACCGGTGACGATTATCTAGAGGTGTGTGAACATCGCCACTTGGGAGACAAAGGCGGTCGGGCGTGGTGCTGGCCGCCCACCCCCTCGTGTGCCGTGCCGGCCTTTATAGGTGCTGCTCGCTAACAGCACTTGCCCCAACAGTCTGCTAAAGCAATACGGGGGGTCTTTGCCTCTGTGTGCGCGTGCTTGCGTACTCTCCATCATCAGTCGTGCCACAAAACTAACGGGCACCCTGTAACTCCCACCCACTCCTCCTCCACCCCCTCCCCGCCACTGTGCCCCCCCCTCCCCCACACAGGAGGTGGGAGTCCGGCTCCGTGGGGGGTCCCGTCACCCTGCGCAGGGTGCACACGACGCCGCTCATGACGATGACGAACCTGGCCGGCGTGGAGCAGCTGGGAGGCGGCGAGTGCTTGGTCTGCTCCGAGCCGTGCTCGCCCTCGCTCCTCCTGCCCTGCCAGCACCGCCTCGCCTGCGAGGGTCCGTGCGTGCGAGCGCGTGGTGCGTGCGAGTGCGTGGTGCGTGCGAGTGCGTGCGTGTGTTTCTGCGAGGGTGCGTGCGTGTGTGGGTGGGCTCCCGTGTGTTCCATCTCGTTGCATGTATGTGTGTCCGTGTGCGTGTGTGTAAGCAGGTGTGTGTGTGTGCGTAGCGCGCTGCAACGACCCAAATTCGCTTCCTGCTCAGGGCCACCACCAGTGACGATTTTCCTGGGCCTCCCTTAGGTTGACACAGCTTCAAATAAGTACCTGGTGCAGTGTGTAAACATCGCTACTCGGAAGACAAAGGCGGCCGGGCGTGGTGCTGGCCACCCACCGCCTCGTGCACAGTGCCGGCCTTCAGGCTTTCCGGGGGATTCTAGATTTGAAGCTTCAACGCTGTCCTCATGACAGCACGGTCCCTTCACCTGATGAAGGCCACTTGTGTTGTGGCCGAAACGTCGTGATTTTTGTTATTTTATTTTTTACCTACGTGAGTATGGATTTCCAGGGGATCTTTGTTTTTGTTTGATAAGCGGTGATGCGTTTCTTCGCGCTGTGATTCTTGGCCCTGGCTAACATCAGTGGCATGTGCCATGAGAACCCGTACCGAGCCTCGTCTAGGCCAGCTCAGCCTAAAACAAAGTCTCTGGTGTGTTGTGGCCATGGCACACACAGTACTCGGCAGCGCTTGAGACTACAGCAGCCAGATACAGCGGTCCCTCGGTTAACGACATGAATTGGTTCCGCGAAAACCCATCGTTAATTGAAATGATCGTTAATAGAATATAGGAAATTCATGTTAAAGGCTTCATTTGTTCCAAGACGATCGGAAGTTGACCTCTTTTCCACCCTAAAAAACATAGTTTAGGAATTTTTAAACACGTAATCATTTATTGCTTAATTTGCACACTAATTGTTTTCCTCACTTTCTCGTCTTTCTTCAAATTCGTTTTATTGGCCACAAAGCATTCACGAGAGCTGTTTCCATAAGCAACGCACCATCAAATATTGAAAAGCGAGCAGCGAGTTGCTCTCAAAACGCTCATAAAAGGGCGGGTCGCCGATTGGCTGAGGTCTGCTGCCGAGTCCTCTTAGGAGCGCTCTGATTGGCCGAAATTGGCGGGAACCGCATGATATCGTAAACCTATCGTTAACTGAAAATTGTTTGTTAATAGAAGCAATGGGGAACCCTATGGGAGGCGGATCGCTCATCGAAATATCGTTAATCGATGGCATCGTAAAACCGCGGGACCGCTGTACCGGCGTCCCCTTCATCTCCTCGACCACATTCAAAAGGGCAGCCTTAATAGTCGCTTGCTAACACCACAACCGGCGTCTGTCGCGTGTGCGTCCTGGACGCAGGGTGCAGCCTGCGGATGAAGAGGTGTTTCAAGTGTCAGGTGACCATCACCAAAAAGCTCAGGGAAGGTAAGAAACGGGGCCTTTGTTTGTAAACAACAACAAAAACAAGATGAGGTGGTGCGGGAGGTTTAGTGGGCAGATGAGGTCTGAGCTGGCAACATTGGGGACCTTGGGTCCCCACTGCTATTCAGTGGCCTATTCACTGGCCTAAAATATGGTTCTAGATTTTGGTGTTATAATTTATTTATGTAGTTTATTGTAAAAAATTCGGTCACAGTCCCTATGATCACTGTTACATTGCATTTATGGCTTTTATATTGGTGATTTCGAAAACGTTTTTTTGTTTTTGGCCATGTTTTTGTTTATTGTAGTACGGAGTTAGACTGATGGCCTTAATCTGAGTTGTCTTGTGGTTGTTGTTCTTGTTGTTTGACTTGCATCCCACTGGGATTTTTGCACACAGCGTTGGTGTACGGTGCTATTTCAGGAATATTTTGATGTTTTTTTCCTGTATTTTCTGTTTGCATAGTCACATAATCACTTTAAGATGTTTTCTTGTTCATGTTTTTGTTTGTTGCGGTTGCACCCGATTCAAGAGCCGAATGGCTCACAGGGCTATACCAAATAAATGAAACTATGGAACTATGGAACTATGGTTTCCTGGTTTCGGCCACCTGTAGTTAAACCGGGTTTTCGAGTGAGGTGTCGAGGCCTCGGCCCGATCACCAATGGCTGAACACAGAAGAAACAAACACATAAAATTTAGGTGCGAACTTAATTTGGTCCAGTTCGACGATCACATGATAAACAATACCTTCAGTGGAAAGAAGGGGAAGTTGGGACAGTGCTGCCTCTATGATTGTGTGGACCAGACTTGAATTGATCTCAGGAATACCTCTGTGGTATCCGCTTCTGCGGGCCATTCTTAAACACGAAGACTCGCACAGCTCTGCTAAGCGAGACGGGTGGATACCTCATCTTGTGACGTGACCCTCGATAGCGGGGTCGGGGTGGAAATGTTTGAGGGAAAAAAGGCCAATCAAAAAAGTTGAAAAAGCATGCGCAAATCCAATTATGATTGTGTTATGATGCCAATATTTCCTCAAGAATAACTAAAAATGAAACTTTTTTTTTTGTTTTACCAGGCAAGGCCCACTGAGCTGTATATAGCTCTTCTTCAGAAACGACCTGGCCATAAATGATAGCTCAACGAAGTGGCTTATCATGTGGAAATTAATTGCAGCCAAAGACTCGAAATGCGTGTTTCTAAATGCGGAGGGAACACCGAGTGGACCCGGAGAAAAATCCACGCGATCACAGGGAGAGAGAGAGAGAGACGCAAACTCCGAAAATACCGCAGGCGTCAGGGTCGGGATCGAACCAATACACCTTCTGTATACCAGGTGAGGTAGTTAACATCTTCTGTATACCAGGTGAGGTAGTTAACATCTTCTGTATACCAGGTGAGGTAGTTAACACCTTCTGTATACCAGGAGAGGTAGTTAACATCTTCTGTATACCAGGTGAGGTAGTTAACACCTTCTGTATACCAGGTGAGGTAGCTAACATCTTCTGTATACCAGGTGAGGTAGTTAACACCTTCTGTATACCAGGTGAGGTAGTTAACATCTTCTGTATACCAGGTGAGGTAGTTAACATCTCCTGTATACCAGGTGAGGTAGTTAACATCTTCTGTATACCAGGTGAGGTAGATAACATCTTCTGTATACCAGGTGAGGTAGTTAACATCTTCTGTATACCAGGTGAGGTAGTTAACACCTTCTGTATACCAGATGAGGTAGTTAACATCTTCTGTATACCAGGTGAGGTAGTTAACATCTTCTGTATACCAGGTGAGGTAGTTAACATCTCCTGTATACCAGGTAAGGTAGTTAACACCTTCTGTATACCAGGTGAGGTAGTTAACATCTTCTGTATACCAGGTGAGGTAGTTAACATCTTCTGTATACCAGGTGAGGTAGTTAACACCTTCTGTATACCAGGTGAGGTAGCTAACATCTTCTGTATACCAGGTGAGGTAGTTAACACCTTCTGTATACCAGGTGAGGTAGTTAACATCTTCTGTATACCAGGTGAGGTAGTTAACATCTCCTGTATACCAGGTGAGGTAGTTAACATCTTCTGTATACCAGGTGAGGTAGATAACATCTTCTGTATACCAGGTGAGGTAGTTAACATCTTCTGTATACCAGGTGAGGTAGTTAACATCTTCTGTATACCAGGTGAGGTAGTTAACACCTTCTGTATACCAGGTGAGGTAGTTAACATCTTCTGTATACCAGGTGAGGTAGGTAACATCTCCTGTATACCAGGTGAGGTAGTTAACACCTTCTGTATACCAGGTGAGGTAGTTAACATCTTCTGTATACCAGGTGAGGTAGGTAACATCTCCTGTATACCAGGATAGGTAGTTAACATCTTCTGTATACCAGGTAAGGTAGTTAACATCTTCTGTATACCAGGTGAGGTAGTTAACATCTTCTGTATACCAGGTGAGGTAGTTAACACCTTCTGTATACCAGGTGAGGTAGTTAACATCTCCTGTATACCAGGCGAGGTAGTTAACATCTTCTGTATACCAGGTAAGCTAGTTAACATCTTCTGTATACCAGGTGAGGTAGTTAACATCTTCTGTATACCACGTGAGGTAGTTAACACCTTCTGTATACCAGGTGAGGTAGTTAACAACTTCTGTATACCAGGTGAGGTAGTTAACACCTTCTGTATACCAGGTGAGGTAGTTAACATCTCCTGTATACCAGGTGAGGTAGTTAACATCTTCTGTATACCTGGTGAGGTAGTTAACATCTTCTGTATACCAGGTGAGGTAGTTAACACCTCCTGTATACCAAGTGAGGTAGTTAACGTCTTCTGTATACCAGGTGAGGTAGTTAACATCTTCTGTATACCAGGTGAGGTAGTTAACATCTTCTGTATACCAGGTGAGGTAGTTAACACCTTCTGTATACCAGGTGAGGTAGTTAACATCTTCTGTATACCAGGTGAGGTAGGTAACATCTCCTGTATACCAGGTGAGGTAGTTAACATCTTCTGTATACCTGGTGAGGTAGTTAACATCTTCTGTATACCAGGTGAGGTAGTTAACACCTCCTGTATACCAAGTGAGGTAGTTAACGTCTTCTGTATACCAGGTGAGGTAGTTAACATCTTCTGTATACCAGGTGAGGTAGTTAACATCTTCTGTATACCAGGTGAGGTAGTTAACATCTCCTGTATACCAGGTGAGGTAGTTAACATCTTCTGTATACCAGGTGAGGTAGTTAACACCTTCTGTATACCAGGTGAGGTAGTTAACATCTTCTGTATACCAGGTGAGGTAGTTAACACCTTCTGTATACCAGGTGAGGTAGTTAACATCTCCTGTATACCAGGCGAGGTAGTTAACATCTTCTGTATACCAGGTAAGCTAGTTAACATCTTCTGTATACCAGGTGAGGTAGTTAACATCTTCTGTATACCACGTGAGGTAGTTAACACCTTCTGTATACCAGGTGAGGTAGTTAACAACTTCTGTATACCAGGTGAGGTAGTTAACACCTTCTGTATACCAGGTGAGGTAGTTAACATCTTCTGTATACCTGGTGAGGTAGTTAACATCTTCTGTATACCAGGTGAGGTAGTTAACACCTCCTGTATACCAAGTGAGGTAGTTAACGTCTTCTGTATACCAGGTGAGGTAGTTAACATCTTCTGTATACCAGGTGAGGTAGTTAACATCTTCTGTATACCAGGTGAGGTAGTTAACACCTTCTGTATACCAGGTGAGGTAGTTAACATCTTCTGTATACCAGGTGAGGTAGGTAACATCTCCTGTATACCAGGTGAGGTAGTTAACATCTTCTGTATACCTGGTGAGGTAGTTAACATCTTCTGTATACCAGGTGAGGTAGTTAACACCTCCTGTATACCAAGTGAGGTAGTTAACGTCTTCTGTATACCAGGTGAGGTAGTTAACACCTTCTGTATACCAGGTGAGGTAGTTAACACCTTCTGTATACCAGGTGAGGTAGTTAACATCTCCTAGCCACCGTGGCGCCCAGAAAGAAAGAAAGCCTCTGTTGAGTCCCCTGACCCTCTAAAGGATCCTGTTTGAGGTGTTTTGCAATTTGTTTTTGCTAAGTTCCATTCAGCATGAGAATGAAGCCCCGTGCACATAGGGGGAGAGTGATACATTCTACAGGGTTCACCACACATTACATTCTCCCTGTGGGCTAAGTCAACACAAGTTGGTAGTGCTTGTCCCGTGAAGACGCGTGGAATTTCTGTGACTGGGTCCTAGCTGCTGAGGCCGACCACAAAAAGCATAACCTCCCCCGCAATGATGTTATGTACAATTGTATAATTATTGTAAAGTAGCTTGGATTAAGGTGCTACATAAGATTTTGGAAAAGTAAAATTTTTGGTCTATTGTATGTATGTATATATTTCTATCTTCTTTGGCACCGTACATACCCAACCGCGCTAATCGGAGGTGCGGGGGAAAGACAACAAACGAAACACAAAAAAACAGTTCTAAAGAAATTAGTTTTCGCTCTAGATGACTTAAAAGTGCATAGCTGCCAGTGGCTTCCTCATATCGGAAGGCAGAGCGTTCCAGACAGCCTCAGAAGCGCATCTGAAAACGCGCGATGCGCTGACCCATTTTTGCTCATCCGAGCGCCAAGCTTCGTTCTCGAATGATCGTCATGGACGACGGGCAAAATCCATTCAGCGAAATCTCTTCGGGTTTAGCCGCTCGCGCCTCGTACGTATGTTGGAACTTCTTTCGCACCGTACGTAGCCAACCGTGCTAATGGGGGTTTGGGGGGGGGGGTAAAACTTGCCTCGCTCTCGCTGACGCCAGCCCCCCACCCCGACACCGCAGACGGCAGCGTCATCGAGTGCCCGGCGCGCCTGTCGTGCTTCCCGCTGCCGGGCGGCGGCCGCGACGACTGCGCCGGCAACGTCAAGGGCCCCTCCCCGGGCACCAGCGGCGGAGACGGCGCCGGGACCTCGGGCAGCAACAGCGGCGACGAAAACGATCCCGGCGGCGGTGGTGGCGGCGGCGACGACGACGCGGCGGCGGCGGCGGCGGCGGCGGAAGAGGAGGCCGAGGGGTTGGCCGAGAACGGCTCGGCGCTGCGCTTGCGGTGCCGCGACATGGAGGCGCGGCTGACGTGCGCCGTGTGCATGGAGCGGCCGTTGGGCCTCGTCTTCTCCTGCGGCCACGCGGCCTGCACCCAGTGCGGCCTCACGCTGCGCGCGTGCCCGCTGTGCCGCCGGGACGTGACGGAGCGCACGCACATCTACGTGTGACTTGGCCACGTGTCTGTCCCCCCCCCCACCCCTTGCATCCGCGCGTCAATGACCGTTGCGGTGCCCCCCCCCTCCGCCACCCACCCCACTCCCTCCTGGAATCCATCCGTGCGGCATCTCGGGGTCGCGAACGATGGCGGCGCCCTCACCTGCACGCTGCCGCCATGTTTTCCCCCCGCACCTCCGATGTGCACGGTTGGCTACGTACGGTGCGGAGTTCAAGCTACAAACATACGTCCCCTGTCTCGGCCCTCTTGTTCCACCCTTATCCCTGGTTTATCCCCCTGGCTGCCCCTTCCAACGGCTTGAACGGCCGTTCAATATTTAGACGCTTTATATATAAATAAAAAAGCCCCACGCATACAGACATCCCCCTTTGTCAATCCACTGCTGGACGAGGACCTCGCCGACCACTCCGTGTGGGCCGTGGGGGTTATCTGACCGTACTTCACCACGCCGCTCAGTGCCGGTTCCGAAGGTTGGAGCCGTAGCTGTGGAAGCGTAGAAGTACGGTGCAACAGTCGATGTTTTTGCTACGCTGCTTTATGCCACCTGTCTGCGTGTGATGGTCACCCATACGAGCACTATCCAGGCTCAAGCGGGCTTAGCTTCTGAGATAAGAGGTGATTGGGCAGATGATGGGGTTCAATTTATTGATCTCTATTGACTCCAGATACAGTGGTATTTTAATGTTTTGATGATGCTTCTGCCGCTACAACTGCGATTGTGGATATTGCTGATGACGATTATATAAATAGTCAAATCCACTGAAAAGTATATTTTTTTATTTAAACCAGGTAAGTGCCAACTGAGATGATATTTATTTTTATCAAGGGGCACCCGGGCAAATCCGGGGTGGGTGAGATGGGATCTTCGTGAACATCAGGCAGATCTGAAACACGGTAGGACCAATACCTCGGCCGTGGCTGATCATTGTATTAATGCGGTGGGCTCACAAAATCGATTTCTCTAAGACGAAGGTACTTTGCAAACCCACTGGCTTTCAACAAAGATTCGTTCATGAAGCCATACACAGACAACTTAAATCGAGAAGATGGGTATAAACTGAGCAACGTTATCAACCAGTTTAAGTCATAACTGGCTGTGATGTTCCCATCCTACCACCTTCCGATGTTGTTATTTTCGGCTCTCTGATTTTACATTAACAGGTTACATTTCC